GCCTGAGCTGCATGGGTTGCAAATAACTTGTAGACAGAATTCCATGACGTTCAAATCTTTGAGAATCTAAATCTCTAACTAGAAAACCCCCAAAAAACCAAAGAAACCCCCCAAAAACCAAAAGGACAAAAGGACTAAACAGACGTGACAGACAAAATAGACAAAAACAGAGCAAAACAGAGCAAAACAAAACCAAATAAGTTTAGATCAAATCAAACCAAAATCAAAGAAAGAAAAAAAAAGGTTTGCATACCAGGAGTAGGACCGATCAAAAGTTCAGGTAAATATAAGTTTGTAATATTTCCCACAAACCAATTTGCTACTCGATTAAATCGATTTTCAATCGGTAAACCTAATTGCATACTTTCACCTGGAACTCTATAACCAATCTTATTCCCCCCCAAGAAAACCAAAAACCAAACAAATTAGTCAATCAAATCAAACCGAATCCAAAAAGGAAAGCAAAGAAAAAGAAAATGTGTCAAAAGAATCCTAACCATACTAAGATCCAAATGCAAAAGCACCAAATCCAATTGATCTTTCCAACTGTTCAATAAACCCAATGAACCCCAAGATCCTTGATGAGTCCCCGAAAAGACGACAAAGTATAAATCTTTTTTTAATGATAATTGATGAGCTTGAATCGATTTAGATATTGATAATAAAACAGAACAACCTAAAACGCCCCAAACCAAAAAAACAGTTAAGATGGAATCCATTCATAGAGAAGATGAATGGAGATGGTGGCTTTACCAAATGCGTTATCATCTGTACCAGGTTCAAAAACGTTACCAAAATCACCCCTAGAATCCAAATGAGCACTAACCACAACTCTTTCCTTCCCATCCCCTCTATTCCTTTGATCGGTAGCCAAGATTTTACAAACCAAATTAGGAGCAAACCCAAGCTGATATTCCTCAAACCCACATCTCATCCCAACAGCACCCGATTCGAACCTATCTTTCAACCAATCTAAAGCCAACAAGATCCCATCTGAAAAAGTATGTCTAGTAATCCATTTCGAAGGCTCATCAATTCCTACTACCGTTCTTGTATACTTAAGTATCTCATTTAAGTTTAATGAACTGATTAGTTTATCTATCTTTGGTTTATAATGAATTTTAATCACTTCATTCAAAAGTTTTTCAGATGACCTTTTTAATGTTTTAGATCGGATGTATGGATTTGAAAAATCGGTTTTGTTGGGGTATAAATGGATCAAGAGTTCCATATGATTCGGTAACCTTTCAGTAAATTCTTTTAATGATAAGTACGGTACCAAAACCAAAGCAGTGTGATTGACACAAAAAAACACACGAGTCCCAGACCTTTGACATTCATTCAGTCTAGAATTCGTAGTAGTAGATCGAAGTACGATTTGTTCAGTAGATGAACCAGTAGTAGTTGTTTGTAATGATGTTTCGATTTCTTGTAGTTGTGATACGTATGAATTTAATTCATCTTTCCATGATTCAAGTGGATCATGATCAGTTTGAAAGATTAAAGATGAATCAAGTATAGAAGGTGAGATTGAAAATAAATAATGCTTTGGACAGTTTTGAAGTTGATGATGATGGATTGAAGTATCATGAGTGATGAGATTGATTTGGTTTTGATTGATATGGATTGATTGACCATCTACTGTTAAATCAGTTGAGTTGGATTGGATTCTGTTCTTTGATGATGATGAGTTAGTTGGTTGTAATTTGATTTTAAAGATTGATTGATAACTTATTGAAATCTTAATCAACAACAACAACAACAAGATAGTCTTCATTGGATATTGTGTTTTCATCTTTCTACTTGGAATGTGGTTTGATTTGAGTTGATGGATGGATCTAATCGAGTAACAGTACTACACTTCTTTATATCTTCTTCGATTTAATCAATGATGATGTCATGCGCATTCATCTCAATTCACTTCATAAATCTCTCATCCGACCAAGTTCACTCAAACTGGCGCATTCTTGGCAAACTCATTATCTCTTATACCCTTTTGGAAGACCGATCAACTCAACCTCAACCCTACCACGATCCACAAACCAAAAAAAACCAATCTTGTTGCATTTCATAACCCCTCAAAAACCAACCCTTCAATTCTTTATCCAAAACGATCAAACATGTATTCTCATTCCTTTAAAACCAAGCCTTTCAAACCAATTCCAATCTTTTCCCTTTTTTCAAACCCTCAACCACTTTATAAAACTCAAACATATTTTCCAAACAATGGAATCAAACTTTGAGCCATAGTAAAAGAAAAGATCAACTTAGGTCCAACTACCAAAACCTACAAAAAAAAACCAAAAATCAGACTTTTCAAGATTTCACCAAAAAAAAAAGAGATTGATTGGAAAGCTTACTTTAGGTGTTAAACCTTTAAAGAAAGCACCAATTCCTTCGTTTTTCATGATTTCTTTAATTACCATCATACCTCCTTGTTTAGATTCGAAATTTTGGTTTTGAACTCGAGTCTAAAAAAGAAAAAGCCCCAAAAAAGAAAAAGCCCAAAACATCAACATCAAGAATTTGGAATGAAATTGATCTTTTTTCTTCAATTTACCTTAATCACATCTAATGGTTGAGAAATCGTAATAGAAGAAACACTTCCAGCAATCGAACAAACAAAGTTTTGTGACCAACTAGCCGAAGAATAATCTTGTAATTTAAACAAATATTCTTTTGTAAATGCTGATCCACCGAACAACTAAAAAAAAGAAAACCCAAAAATCAATTCTCTAATCTGATTTTTTTTTGATTTTTTTTTGGGGAAGGAGAAGGAGAAGTGTTGGGAGATTTACAGCGAATGAACCTGGTGCGTTTCGGGCTGCTGTCCATCCCCATCCTCTGTACAACGCAAATCCTTCATCAGCCACGATTTTTAAGAAACCTCTTGACCTAAACGCATCTGGATTTGTCCTAGTCAAACACCCAAAAAATCATTAGCTAACCATCTCAAAAGAAAACCACCATCAGATAATTTTGAGTGAAAGGACTGACTGTCGTTTGATTTTCAATACATCTAAGGGTAATAAAACGATTTCACCAATTCCGGTAAACGAACCGGCTGTAGCTTCCATCATGGCTTTTCCATTTTTTTCTCCAAAGAGTTTAATAAAGATTGGTTTATGATTTTGGTTTAAATAGTCTTTGAAATAAGGTTGACCACCAAACCTAAAATACCCCCAAAAAAACCAAAAAAAAGCAAACAAAAGCCAAAAAAAAAAAGTTAAAATCCGATCAATTTCATAAAAAAAAGATGTTGAAAGTTAAGAAAAGTTTTGAAGGAAAAAAGAACTGAACTTATAAATCCTTTGTAAGATTTTATACCCAGCAGCATAGCCAAGACCAGGAAAAAGTGACAAAAACTTTTGATAAGACCCAGAATTCGCAAATTCTTTAAAAACGATTTGATTAAATGTCATCGATTTAGATTTATTTGACATCATCCTTTTTGCCAACGTATCAACCGGATGAAATAATAATAATTCAGTGATTCCTTCCAACCAAATATGATTAGTATGTTGTGATCGGGTTTCTTGATTTTTGGTGAGGAAGAGGATGGTTTACCTGAAGTACCTGATCCTAACAGTCTTGCTACTCCACTATCTCTTTGTTTTCCTGAACTTAGTGGGGTTGAGGATGTTGATGGTGACATTGTCTTTGATTTATCTTTTTAAATTCAAGAAGATGTGGATATATGTATAGAAATCAAAGAAAAACAAATTTGAAAGAAAATTCCAAAGGTTGAAGTTGAAATTTTCAACTTTGAAATTTGAATCAAATCGAATTGGGACCATACCATACAGATACAGAAAAACTTATGGGGTCAGTTCTGGTCAGTTTCAAACAACAGACTTTACCAGTACTTCATCAACTCAAAAATAGCTGCCCAACACAAACCCTCTATGTGTCTCAAATCAACTCAGGCTCCATAATATTACTCAAATATCCATCTCAACTTCAAGCCAGGAAACCATTCTTGCTACATATGATCAGTTGACAATGACGTACATACTTTGCTCATAAATTACTTTAATTCGATCTTATCAAGAAACTTGAAGTTTGGTTTAAATGATTCTTGAAGACATTAATTCTCTATAGACATAAATCATTATCATCATGCACAAATAAAGAAGTAAGCAAAACCCATAAAAGAAAGTGACCAAAGGAACGATCACCAAATTGTTTTAAAGTGGTTTTTGAAACAACAATTTAAAACCCATTTTAAAACCTAAATATCCTCATCAAGAAACCAAGTTGAAATCAAGTCTTTGATTCCTATCAAGTAAAACAGACTGATCTTGAATGCTGATAGTATAGCTCAACCAGTTCTACTTACTTCTAGAGCCTCTATGATGCTTTCCTTGAAAATCTACCACACTTCTTTTCCATTTATCCTATGCACTCCAATGACAACCAAAAAAAAGAACCCACAACCCAAAACTTGAAAAAAACCTAAAAAAAAACCAATAAAAACTACATGATCAAAAAAAACCTAAACACAAAAATGATAAATAATTAAAACTTTTATAATTGGATATTTGACATTTTGCATATATATATATATATTGGATGATGATTTTTAAACAGATAAATATTTACAAATCATTTCATGTGCTAAATCAGGTGACCCCGAAGTCATATAAATCAACACAAGATTATAAGCAGCTAAACTTTTAAAATCTTCTACTTCTTCATTCCCTTCATTCCCTTCTTCTTCTTCATTCCCTTCGTCTTCTTGATCATCAGCTAAACAAAGTACTTTTTGATAATGTGAAATAGCTAAAGTGATTAAACCTATAAACAATGAAGAAGAAAAACCCATAAATTTTCAAGTTCGATTGAGAAACGAAATCAAAGGAAAATTCACTTACCAATCCCATGAAAAAACCTACCAAAGTTATACTCTACTTCTTGACCATGTTTCAAAGACCTTAACTTTCGATACTTATTCATAAAAGCACTTGCCTAAACAACCACCCCCAAAGCAAAAAATCAATTTCAAACCAAACAACAAAAAGATTTTGATCAACTTTTTTTTTCAAGAAAAAAAAACTCAACTCAAATTTACAAAAAATCAATTCACTTACTTGAACGATTTGATGATGTCGATTATCAGTTTGTCTTTGCATAGCTCTTTGAGAATAACTTAAACCGAGTAACAAGTTCAAAAGAGGTTCATCAGGATAAGTTTCATAAACTCTTAAATAATGAACTAAAAGTAACCAAAAAAAAAAGATTCACATTAACAAGAATTTCTTTTTTGAAAGGAAGGGGGGGTAGAGGGTTCAAGGATTTCAAAAACTCAACTAATTGAAGATTGAAAACTCCTAGTAGCCGCCAAGATTTGAGAAAAAGTGATCGTATAAACCGGATTAGATTTCCTAGGTTTAAACCTACTAGGTTTCCAATACGATTCATCTTCATCCCCATCCTCTTCCTCAAACCCTTCCTCTTCCGGTAAATGAAACTGAACTCCTTTACCTCTAATTTGAGGTCGTTGACGTAGTCCGATCGCATCGGATTGAAGGCCATCTGATTTAAACCTTTTAACATGTTGATCAATAATTTTGATTTGTCTTAAGAACCATTTCTGTAGATTACCATTAGCGAATGCTAAAGCTTGTTGAAAGCCTTGGTTTAATAAACTATTGATCAATCGGATCGGTTCGTTATGATATAACAAACGTAAACTGATCCATCGAATCGTATCAGTCACTTTTACATAATCTCCTTTCGCATAACATATTGCTAAAACAAATTCGATCATCAGTCATTCAAAGTTCTCCTTCTTTTTTTGTCTTTGCAAGTCCTGCAAAACTTACCGGCATATGCTAATCTTAAAACTTGTTGCATACTTGCAGATTGTCTAAAAACAGGTGCTAACATCACATGTTTAATCACTTCAAATGCTTCATCTTCTCTTTGAACTTTTACACAAAAAAATGAATACTTTTTCCCAACATGATAATACCAAAACATTCAAATCAATTCTACATTCATTGTTCATATATATATAAGTTGAAAATCACTTACATGTACAAAGATTCGAACCCAGTCTTCGAATTGGATCCCTCTAAACTCTTGAAGACTAGTTTCAGCTTCTATAAAGCATAAACCCACACAAATTCAACAAAATCAACACAACTCATCTTTCTTAACATCCATCAAAGTAAAAAAACCTACGAGTTTCTTCTCCGACATGATTCCCATGTGCATCCACTTTCTTCGGTTTCTTAGGTGCAACATTCACCCCAACAAACTTTTTCGTCTACCAAAATCCAAACCATCAAGAATCAATAACCCTCTGTCCAAAACCAAAAAAAAACCAATCCAAGCCAAAAAAAAAACTGACGATTTCACAAGGAAACAAAGCAGGAGTTTGTCTAAAGCCTTCAATCATCGGATTAGCAATCCTCACAAACTCATTCATCAAACTACCCTTAACCCTATCCCCATCCCCATCATTCTCATCCACTAAAGAGACTTTCAATGCGATCTCTTCTAATCTTTTAAAACTAATCACATACCGTTCAGTTCGGTTAACTTCTTCTAATCTTCTTTCTTCCATCGATTTATACTTTGGATTCGGATTAGGTTTAATAGATAATGGGTTTTGAGATCGATTAGGTTGAGAAATCGGGTCTTGATCTAGAACGATTCCTTGAGACCTTGCTGTTCTTCTAATCTCAATAACTTTAAAAAAAACATTCCATCAGCTTGAAAATGGATTTCATAAGATTTATTCAAAGAAGCTTACTATCATCTACCATCTTATATGCGTCATCAAGTCTTCCACATAATTCATATATCTCGGCTAGTTGTGATTTAGCTAGCAGATCCATATGATCGGTTTCCACAACTACATTGTATCCAAAACAAATCATCTTAATTCGTTAATCTGAACATAACAAACATATAGATCAATACATACTTGCTTCATAACATTCAGCAGCTTCTTCAAGATTTTCAGATTTCCTATAACACTGTCCAATCTTATGCCAAACTGATGGATTATTAGTCTTTTGTAAAAGAAAACAATCAAAAGATTAATTATTTTGTTTTCATATTGATAAGGATTTTTTTTTTAAAAAAAAAATCATAATGAAATCTTCTTACTGATTCATTATCAACTAATTCTTGATAAAACTCTAATGCTTCATGAAACATATCTGAATCAAAATACGTATCACCAATCATTAAAAACAAATCTGAAAACTCTAGGATACTAAGTTCTTTAATAAGATCAAAATGAGCCTATAAAAAAAACCAAAAGAAACCGAAAAAAAAGTGAATTAGATTAGTTTTTCCAATATAGTAGAAAGAAAAAAGAACAAATTCGATTCACTTTAGCTTCTTCTTCATCTCCAATCTTAAGTCTACAAATCCCTAAATAAGTTCTAAACTCCGGTTCTAATCCAAAGACCGGAGCATTTTCAAACCTATAATCTTCCAATAAGTCCACATCATCTCTTGCTCCTCTAACCAGATCAAACTCTCGATCATCATCCAAACTCTCCCAATTCAAATAACCATGACCTTCAGAATCCGATCTACCCTGTAACCACCTAGTAGACAATTTAATAATTCTAATCACATAACTGTAATAAGATTGTTGGTTTTCTTCTTCGGGTTTGGAACTCGAATCGGGTCCTAAAATAAGTGGGATTGAAGATGGATAAGATTTCATTAATAAACTGATCAGGATCCTTAGATGATCTAAACCGAATCCGGTTTGTAAGAAATCAGGTGAAGGAGTCGGAAGTGATGATTGGTAATGTTCAAAAGCGGTTTTAAACAACTTCAGCGGTAATTCTTTTTCATCGGTCGTTGCACAAAGATGTGCGATTTCTCTTAATACATCAGGGTTATAAGGGTTAAGTTTCAAGATCGAAAGGTAACCTAATAATGCCTTGGTTTCGGTTCATTGGAATAGTTTAGATTCGTTAATCAAGATCTTCAAGGTAGGATTAAAGTAAGATACTCACTTGCCTTGGTCTACCTACTTCGTAGAGTAAGTATGAACGATCCCACATTGCTTCTACATCATCTTTCCCAACTTTAATAGCTTCACTAAAACAATAAATAGCTTGAGACAAAAGTCCATGTTGTCTATGAAATGAAAAGAACCCAATCCGAATCCCAAGCATCAGATTCCCACATCACCAAAAGTATAAAGAAACATTCACACCTAGATTCAGCACCTAACTCTTTCCATAAATGTTCAGATTTAGCAGTCAGATGAGCTCCAATCATTCTAAACTGACAAGATTTTTCAAAATCGTTCAAGTCTTGATAAATCGCTCCTAAGTTGTTCCATGCCATCTTACACATTGGTTCGATTCGTACTGCTTCTTCAAATAATGGAATCGCTTCTTGATACTCTTGATTAATGAAACATAAATTGGCTTTTCCTAGTAAGATTGAAACTTCGGTAGATAATTCGGGTTCTCCTCGGATTTTATGTCTTCTCTGGAACAAAAAATTAGGGTTAGATTCAAGATTAGTTTGGATGATTTTTTTGGGTTTCGGGGATGATGGATTGATGGGGTTTACCCTTTTACCTGATCGTAAGGTCTTTTCGGCTTCTTGTAATTCATTTAATTCTTGATCCATACTACGATCCCATTCTTTACTCAAAAGTCCTTTGGCTTCATCATCCTTTTGATGTTTAGTCGTATGAATCGCTTCGATTAAACGTGTAAGATCATTCTAATCAAACCATCATAAGAAAAAAAGTAAGTTTTGATTTTTGACTTTTTGATGAAGAGTGGATCTTACTTCGTTTCCCTCATCTTCTTCGTCTTCTTCGTCTTCGTCTTCTGTAGAGAAATCTGATGAATTTATGACTTTCTTTCGGTTTGAAGGTTTTGCTTTTGGTTTCTTTTTTTTAGTTTTCTTTACTGAGATTTCTGAATGATCTGAATGATCTTCTTCTGAATCTTCATCTTCTTGATCCTGATCCTCTTCTTGATCGATTTCCCAATCTTGATCATCATAATCATCATTATCATAATCATCATTATCGTATAGATCATCTGCAGGATAATAATCTTCAGATGGAAGTAATTGAGAAGTTGAAGGATATGGTAAAAAACTGGATGGGTTTTCTTCTTCTTCTTGTTGATCTTGTGGAAGGGGTTGGTTTGATAAGTCTACGAATGAATGACCTACTACATCTGGATTGAATAAATCTGGATCTAATGGGATTTGATCGAATTGATTGGTGGTTGATGGGTCTTGATCCATGTTTGATAAAAAAGTTGGATGAAACTTTTGAGAATTGAAAATTAAAACTTCAGATCGGATTCACCTTAACAAGGTCCCTGTCGGATAGTCTCTCATAGTCCCTCTGAGAAAGTCCATCACTACTCGACCTCGTTCTTCCGAGATTGGGTTTGTAGTCAAACCAACTACAAATCATGAATTCATCATGTCTACCCTTAAACTTCTCATCTTCATCTGACTCAAACTCAACCAGAACTCAACAAATACCCAATTCGACTTCATTACTTATCTTAGATCAACTTAACTCACCATCTACTTTTATCTTATTAGACATTCTCATTAACTCAATCAAATCTAAATCAAATAGAAAAATCATCTTTATTAATACTACTAATTCATTTTCTCATTGGAATGGTTTATTACAAAAACAAGTAAATCTCAATTTCACTAATCAAAAATAAATACTACAAAAAATCACTAAAAAGAATACTAATTCAAAAAAGTGATCAAAAAATACTAATCATCTGTTTTATTGGTTTTCTTTTTTTCTTTTCGAAAAAGGGAATCCAACTAACCCACCAAATCAAATCCAGTTCAATCACATTCATAACCCATCCCTTCAACCAACCACTCCAAACCCTTTTCCAAACCATTGAAGAATCCATAACCCCATCTCACAGTTCATCATCTCTTGCACCTCTTTTAATTATTGATGATTTATCAAGTCTGCTTTGGTCAGGTGTTTCGTACCATGAATTAGATGGGTTCTTGAACCGACTTCGATCATTACAAGAAAAAGTCAGTCTCTTTCTGCTATTCTTGAAACTGCTTTTTTTTTGGAGTTGATTTTTTTGGAGTTCGATTTTTTTTGTAGGTTTCTTTGGCTTTAGTCATCGTACTTCATACAGATCTAATTGATTTTCTAAACCCAACTACGAAACCCAACTCGATCCAAGCAAACCAAACCGACCAATTACTATTTTATAATCTGATCACTTATTCTCATGTGATACTCAAAACCAGAAACTTAGGATTACAAGGCACAGGTGAAGTAAGCCCTTTTCCCCTTTTCTATCTTTTCAATAACTGAGCTGATATGCGTTTTTTTGCTCGTGCCGGGGGGTAGCTTACGGTTTATCGTGGTCAAGCTTTACTTGATGATTTGAAACTACCGGTAACTGTTTCTAGTGATCATGTTTGTCAGTATAGGATCCAAGATAACGTTGTTAATTATTTTACAAAAGGATTAGATAGAGGATTTTTATAATCAAAGCAGTAGAAATTATCAACTTGTGTTTCTTTTGTATACATTCAACAGTAAGGATTGCATTGGTACTTATTTGTGTTGGATCATCAGTTGGAATATTTTGTATTTATACTTCAAAAAGATTGGGATCATGTGTGTATAAATCTTGATATGCAGCATATTGCTTAATACATACATAAGATTGCGACTCATTTTGGACCTACAACTTACACCGACTGCTGGGTTGGGAGAGAATGAATGGAAACTTGATCAAAATCTAAACAACCAACATGTAGGTAAGATAATCAATCAAAAGTGGCAAACCAAAAATCAATAATCAGATGACATTACTTTTTTAATAGAGGATTTGGGCAAAACAATATGTGCATTATACTACATTCATCCAAAGAGGCTTTTTCCAGGCTTTTCTGCTTAGTAACCCTTTGGTTCTTTGATTTGTTGGAAAATATATTGGTTTTCTGTGTATTGAGAAGATTGTTGAGAATGATAAGCATCAATGAAAAAAAAACATTTTTCAATAAAAGCCTCCGTTGATCCTGGCTACTTTGAGTCATAGAAATGAGGACTATGATGATGAACACCAAACAGAATGTAGCTTTAGACAACACTTTCCCCAACTCAGTCCAAACCAGTTGCAAGTTCATGGAAACAGATATGAATCTCATGAGAATCACATAGGAAATAGTCTTGTAGATTTCTTGGTTCAAGGAGTCTAGGGTTTTGGTCATATTATGTTTTGTTTTTGTGATGTAGGGTAGGAATATCATCAGCTTTCATTGTAAAAATGCCTTATGTTCCATTAAATTCAAGTGACTTATCAAAGAACTTTTATTAAAATTATCCCTATCTCCATGCAACTATGGTGCATGACAGGTTCCTCAGTTGTGGTTGAAAGTAAAGATCTTGTGGGACATATTGTTCATGGCTGGACGGCATGTAGATTTTGGAATCTGTGAAATAACTTGTTTCATTACCAGTCTGAGGAACATCTTTATTGGATGAATCAAACAAATCATTTGAAGACTTTACTGAACTTTTGATCCTATACAATTTGTCAAATGATATTTTTGATAGTGTGTTTTCTATACTACTTGTTTCAGTTGTAGTCTTTTCTTGGAGATCCAATAATCTAAAGTTAATTATCTGTTAGATTCATGGGTCTCTACATGAAGTATGGGGTGACTGTTTGCTGGTACAAGGAAGAGGTAGGTTGTACCAAACCATTATCTGTGATAAGGTTGCAACAAGATTCTATCTGAGTTGATGCATCATTGCAACATTCACAGCCTGCAATAAAACAAGGTAGGGTTACAAGTTGTTTTCAAGGGCCAAAGGGTTATTTAAAGTTACAGTATATACAAAAATGTGAAATTGGATATCTACTTGTCCTGTTCATATCAATACATCATACATTCAAAAACTGAACAGCTTCCACCAAAAAAAATGAAAATATTGTATCACAATTGTCCTACACAAAGTTGATTCTGGAACTTTTCCACAAATTTTCCAGAACTGCCCGAGAACACAGATTTGACTGTGTTCTGGACCCCTGGACTTGTGAAAAACAGTACATGTTTAAATGCCCTTTTGCCCAGGGTGCAGAAGCATTCTGGCTTTCTGAAAAATGTTCTGGAAATTTTGTGGAAAAGTTCCAGAATCAACTTTGTGTAGTATAAATGTTTTGGTATCTTTGAGCATAGTGTCAAGATTGAAAAGGAGAGTTATTTAAAATACAAATGAATTTAAATTTCTGAGATAAGATTTTCATTACAATCTTACCCGCTACTTAGATACTGGTGTGATCTTCAAGATTGAGTGTCTCAATTGGAGATATGTCATAATGTACTCCTTGATCAGATAGGTCAGGCTCCTCATTATTCAAGATAAAATCATTAGCGGTACACAAACATGAACACCCAACCTAAAAACCAATGGACAAAACCCATGACAACCCAAGTGTTTTTTGGGTTTGGTCCAATGGGGAAGTGGAAAACCAATGCATAAAACTCCAAGAACAATTGGGTTGTCATGAGTTTTGTCCATGGGTTTTTAGGTTGGGTGCTCATTTTTGTGTACTGCTATTGTAGTTGATCATCATTATCCATTCTTACAGTTGACCCAGTTACAAAAAAACCTAGTTCAATCAGTTGACTTTTTGGCTGTGAGCTGTCAAAAAATATCAACTTGATACACAAAGTTGCCACGAAAAAGCAACTGGTTCAACTGAGTTTTCTTGAAACCAGGTCAACTTTCAGAATGTCTATTGCGTGAATGACATGGTATATTCAAGGCAGCAGATGCTTTGTTAGTCAACTTAGAAGAGACTTCACTGGATGTTGAATGATGTTTTGTCAATCCTTTATTTTACATTGTATATAGACACAGAGACCTGCACTGTGATCAACAGAAGTACCACTGTGAAGCTCAATAAAAAGTGATGTAGATATGCATCTGAAGTGGGGAACAGAGCCTCATGTTGCAATACCAAAGACTTACAACAATGAATTGGAGTGTTGTGGTAGGGACAACCGCAATGGCAATTGTCACTTTTGATAATGAGCTCTGCATGTCATAAAATACATGTTGCTTTTACTGGGAATGTATACGTCTTTAATTACACAATTGATAATCAAGCAAATTGATGCGGGACTCAACACCTAAAGCTGATTGGGGTGGCGGACCACCCCAATGTTCTAGTACAAGCATCACCATGTCTGTATTCATGTGACACATTGAAATGCACACACAAAAGACTTTTGATAGAAACTTGCAAGAGCCTCAAAAGAGGTCTTAAGGATTTGCCTTTATTAAGTGGGGTGTTAAAACTCAGGCAATTGAGTTTCAGCAAAGGTTGTGTGCATAAAGGTGATCCGCAAGCCTGAACTTGAGAAAAGTTCTTGCAGATTTTTTTGGAAACTCTCTGTGTGTGCACATCAACATCCTACAGAGATACAGACATGGTGCATAAAGCATTAAATTTTGGATAATATGCTCTGTAAAATGGGGGGCAGGCATGAAAAAAGAATCAATTACATCAATTGTAAAGAGCTCATATGCTCCTATTGAACATGTTCCTATCACATACTACTATTTTGTTATATGTTGGACATTGAGAAAAGATAACAAAGGTTCTTGCTACCTTGAAGCAGATTAAACTTCAAAATTCACCACTGAAAACCAGACAATACAGTGGTTGCTGTGTTTGAATCCAGTTAAAGACCAAAATTTGAACCTTTTCATTTTTCTCAATGTCCAACATATAACAAAATAGCTGTTGTACATATGTACAGTCAAGCTAGATTAGCTTGGCCAATCCATTTTTTTTTTTACTCACATACAGGTCAATCTATAAGCATAGCCTTCAAACGGGTCAGGCTACACAGCCTGCCGCGTCAGAGTCAGACTGCCCCAGTGACTCGCCTTCCACCACATCCCACACCACTCACACCCATCCTCCATCAAACCACTTTCCCATTGACTCTCATCTGCGATGGGGTTTGTAAAGTATAGTCCGCAAATCAAAGTCATTGCACTCACCAAATTCCAATCCGGACAGTCCATCAATTCAATCAATACGGAACTCATTACTGTGATCTCAAAAAAATCATTCTTACAATTGAATGCTCTGTTCATCCATACTCACGCCTTTGTCCAAAAACCTGCAACCTATCAATGACGAGGCCGCCCAACTTTGTATTTGGACGAGGATCATCAGTTCATGCTTGAACTGATTGATAACAATCCAACTCTGTTTCTTGACAAAATCCAACAAGCCATGTACAATCAGACCAATCTCATCGCTTGTAAAAAAACAATTGCCAACGACCTCAAAGAGCGCCTTTTTCTCACAGTTCATAAAGCCTCAAAAGTGGATCCAAACCAGTCAGCTGAATCACTGGCCAGATACTCTAGTAATGTTACATATATTCCACCCAAGTATTTGGTGTTTTTAGGTGAGTTTTTCTTTGTCTTCTTTCTTCTCAAAGACATCATACTGATTCATATGGCTCTTATACATTCTTAATAAGATGAAACTGGCCTGCGATTGCAGGATGTTCAACACAATCACGTTTGGTCTAGAAAAGGCCAACGACCTAAGGCTTTGAAACAATCAAGGCAAAGAGTTCACTACAGTGTGTTAGCAGCAATCTGCGAGATGGGTCTCTTGGCTGTCAACGCCAAGGTCAACACTTATTGTCGACACGAGTTTGAAGCGTTCTCAAAGCATATTTTAGTAAGTTGTTCTTATTTCCTTTGTATCTGCCCGTTATTAAGAAGCTGATGTTAATATTGATTTTATTCCAGCTCCCTGTTATGCAGCCCTATCCAAATCAAAACTCGGTATTAGTATTGGATAGCGCTCCTATCCACCACCGAGGGTCAATTGAGGCGATGTCTGAGGAAAGAGGGGTCCTTATAGTATACTTACCCCCGTACACGCCGGAGTTCAACCCGATTGAGCAAACTTTTGAAGTTTTCAAGGATAATCTTTGTCAAAACGGTCTTCTTGGTCAAGCTGTTGATAAGTTTGCGTGTTTGAAGACGGTATTGAGTGATGTCTGCACAAGCAGTTTCATCACAAGCTTATACAAAACCTGTGGCTACAGACCACGTGATTGAGGACAATCATGTGAGTTTTTTTTGGATTTCTTATGGGGCCTGAAATCAAATAAAACTGATTATTGATTTCTTCAGGCTGTTTGATTGGTAAAAATCCACACAACATGCAAGTTCAATAGTGATCAATAAATTTTGAGATTCAAGAGGAAAGAGGATTTTGATTAGAGAGATTAAAGGCTATTATTCATAATGCTGGCGAGTAGTTGTAGAATGGCTTCTTTATAAAATATTGTTGCTATAAAACAGTGTTGTTGAAATCTCTTCTTATGGTTTCATCTCAAGAATAGTCAAAGAAATGAATTTTTTTATTCCAATTTCTTAAGTTTGAATCATGATGTTGAGAGGTCAAATTTTACACCAAAGTGAGAAAATCAATGAGTTTTAAGAAATGCCTCGAGTGTTGTGAGATTTCTTGATAGACCAAGAAATAATTACTGTGTTTTTCTTGTTCTCACTGTGAGTGAAAGGCAACAATGAATCTCACTTGGGTCTGGGAAATCTTTGGCAGATCGATTTGTTCACTAAAGAGGATTTGCATTACCATACTTGTTGACAAACAGAACATCAAACAACAAACAGACAAAATTTTTTAAGGACCAAACAAACAGACAATAAGATGTGGATAAGCTTTGATGTTTTACAGTGTACTGTAGCTAGAACACAATAAGACTCTTTTACAGGACAGTCAATACTTTTTTTCCAATAAGACACAACACTAATAATTTCCTCTAGCTCTTCTCTTGAGCTCCTGTTGATAAGAGGAGACTTTATCATAGAGGCGAATACGAGGACCAAATTGAAACCCCAACGCCTCCATTTTTGCACAAGTGAGCTAGGTGGATTCAAACATCTCGAAGTCAACAATGTTGTACTGCGTAAGGAGTCGTCTAGTGATGTGATCCTCTGGGCTAATTGTACAGAACTTGAGGTAATATTCAAAATCTGGGATTGGCCCCAGGGCTGGAGAGTTTGACTTGATTCGAGGTCCTGGGCTGTTGTTGTTATTAAATGAGAATAACCCGTTGCCATGTGAGACCATTGATGTTTGCAATGCTGAGGGTGTAGAATTGGACCTTGCTAACCCTTTCAAAGGTTTGACTTGGTCGATCGGGACCCATTTGAATGTGACACATCGAGGAGGAGTGATCTGCGTAGCACCGTATTGCTTATGAACCTGTATCAAGAGAATCAAAAAAAGTCAGCTATTTTTGATGTGAAATCATGATATTGAGTAAGAACATTGGACTTAAAATTTCACTTGCCCACGTCTCAATCAAGGAATGCGTTAAGTAAATCACCATGGTTGAATCATCCGGTTTTATGTAACCCATGCACTCCCGACCAGCAATGTTGGTATGTCCGTACTGGCGCATAAGATTCGTGTGTTCAGCCTGAATGGCTGCGTCAACTCCAATGGTCTGCTCAAATGAAAGTGGAAAGAGTTAGAAAAAAAAACATGAAGAAAGTTTAAAAAAGAGAGGTAGAAACTTACCAACATCTCTACTACACCGTGATGAGCAGCATCCAACGCTGCTGGATGGCTATGTGCCAATGATTGGTCAAATAGCATGTCCTATCCAGAATCAAATCGATATCAGCTTGAATCTGAGATAATGAAAAGAAAACAAGTGGAATGAGACTTACTCTTGAATCCGTTCTGGCTTGATTCCTTGGATTTGCCATCAAAAGATGAAATCCAACCTCTTTACCTTCTTTCTTAAGGAGCATCTCCTTGAATTGATCAAAAGTATCTTTGTCCGGAATGGTAGGCAATGCTGTCTTACCAAACTTGCCACTGTGTACCACATATCCCTTGAAAGCCATCTGACTATTTTCATTGGCTATCTTCAGTAAGTCTCCACATGGCTTCTTGTGGTTGTTGCAGGCATTGTAAAGAGACATCTTCAAATCGTCAAGGGAAAACCCATGGATTTGAAGAAGCTCTTCTGAAAGCTCCTTGGTTGCGTAGTCAACATAGGAAGTCGCCACTCCAGCACGTTTTCCGTGTCGGAAAGATGCTTTGGGATGTATATGTGGAATTCCACTAGTCTTTGAGTCGGTTTACACTTGGCCACCACAACTTCAGCAGCTGCTGGAGTTGGAGATGATGTTACAGTTATGACTTTTGGATCTAATGGAAGCAAAGTCAGTTTCAAGCTTTGAGCAAGGTGTGAGACAAGAGAGGTGGAAGAGAGAAAGTATCATGACTTACTTTTAGGAGCAGTTTGATCTCCGAGCATTGGATCCATAAGACCTGAATCAACAGCAAAAGGATCCTTGATGGCCACAAAGCTGGATCTAGTAGCTGGAGCGGGTGGTGGAGTATACAATGGTAAGTTTGGTTGCATGACCTCAATTTCCGGATCTACCTTGATCAAGTCAGTCTGTGTGTATGAAACAGTTTTTAAAGAAAAGAACACTCACCAGAAACAACTTCAGGATGGTGTTTACAACAAAACTCACGAAAGCCTGGCTCTTGAAAAGGGTCCAGATGGACCATTTCCAAATTGCGATGGAGGTGTGGTCCATACCTGACATTTTCCCAGTGGTGATCAAGTCTTAACAAAGGAGTTGATCAATCAAATCAGAATTAGAATCAGTCTAATGATTTGATTTGATTTGAATGAGTGGAAGAGCTTCCTTCGGCATCATGGACAGAGTGCCACCCCTACCAAGATCAGGGCTAAGCCCTTTGCGTGGAGCTTGTTTGGCTCGTTTATCGGCACTAAACAAAACACAAAGTATTGAGTATTGTTGATGAAGGAAGATATTGGAGACTGACGCAGTTTGTAAAGCTTTTGCTTCCTCTTCGAGTCAAGCCCGGCGCTTTGAATGTCCTTTTGGCATCTTTGATAGAGTCAAGAGTAGATTCAAAGTGATTCGAAGTGATGCAAAGAGTCAAGAGTTGATTCAAAGTGATTTGAAGTGATTCAAGTTGATTCAAGTTGATTCAAGTTGATTCAAAGTGATTCAAAGATAGCCAAATGAAGTTGGGGATATGGTGTCAAAAGGAAGTTGGGGATATGGTGTTGAGGGTATTGAGGTGTGGTGTTGAGGGTATTGACCGTCAAAACCGGTCAACAAGTCCACAGTCCCAGTATAAGGCTGCTTATGCTTATAAATTGACCTGTATGTGAGTAAAAAAAATAAAAATAAAACGAGTGGCCAAGCTAATATAGCTTGACTGTAATTGTCAACCATGTCAAATTCCTTCATAATTGTGTGTAGGGCCAAAGGTTACAGGGTACATTTCTGGCCCTTCTCTTTCAGTATCTCAACTCACATTTGGTAGCACCATCACCCTCCAAATGTTGTGTGATTCACTTTTAATCTTCACCTCAGGTGTCTTTTGTTATCATCTGATTTGTCTTATTCTGATGAGGCTGACAGTTGCAGTAGTCAACTCAATATGTGAGTCATTTCAATTTCTCTTTTCTTTGTTTCTTCTCTTGTGTTAATTTACGCTTAGTTGAGTTGAATCTTACTTGATCTTGGTCCATAGATTGCTTCTGTCTTCAAGTGATTGCTCTGAATGAGTTTCAAATCATGTTTGATCACAACATACACAACTCCAATTCTACAAGAAACTTTTCAGACCGTAGTTTCCTCTCAGTTTGTACTCTCACCCACACATGCTCCAAATTCTCTACTTCTTTTTACACAAGCCCCTTGAACTATGAATCTCGCTTCCGGGACCTTTGTTGCCTTGTATTGTGCAGCTCCCATTTGAAAAAATATCGCCTACAAGCGCTATCTTTTTCCTTAGCATAGCATGTGTATGCTTATAAAGGAATTGCACTGGACTGGCTGATTTCCAACCCTGCAATAGAGACTTGTGGGATTCACTGAACAAGACTTGATCCAAAAATATGTTGATTCAACGGAACAAAATTGCAGTCTGTTTAATTAATCAATCCGGCTACATAGCCACACTGTAAAGACAAATTATAAATAACATGCTTGTTCTTGAGAATTCTATAAATCACAATTCTTAGAAAATCTATAAACTTGAGTATAGTGCCTGATCTTGAGATATCTGTGAGTAACGAGCTTCTAAGGAGTGCTTTCGTTGACCCATAACGATTGTATTGGCAACATGAGGTCTATTTGAGATTTGATGCTCCTTAAGGAAGTGTGTCTTCCCAATCGTCCGCTACTTCTTCTAACTCTTGTCTTTCTCGCCGCGAGGTAGATGCAATAGGTGCCATCACGGCAGTAGGCGCTAAACACAAGAGGGTCTTCGTCAGGGAAAACAGTTAACAAGAAATTCTAAAAAAACCACGTACGTCGATTGAATCCCCCTCCCACAATCCCACCGTCCATGAATTTCGGCTTTGTCTTTTGAGAATCATTTGCCTGTTTTTGTTGTAAACTAAGTGCACCAAATGAATTCGAAACACTAATAGGAGTGGATGAAATTGCGTTCCATCGGTTTCTTGGTGGCTCCGGACTGGGTGTAGATTTTGCCACCAACGATGTCCTTTCTAGAACTTGACCAGCCTCATCAACTTTTACAGGGAAGATGCCCGCACAAAACGAAGCTTGATCCAGCAAACCCGTCAAGTTATCAAAGATGACACTCAAACGCAAGTTCTTTTTACCACTTCTCAACCAATCACCACTTCGGCTCAAAGGCTGTGTGGTCTTATTGATCTTCAACACTACATCTTCATCTTTTACCCATGTCAATTGGAATTCGTCCATACCAATTGCCGTTCTGATCAGACTTCGCAAAGAGCTTTCGTCGTGTCCAAATACACCCTGTAGCAGAATTGCATTCATCTTTTCTGGTCGGTCTTCTGCACTTGACAGAGACTGTAAATCAGTTTTGAGTGTAGGCACAGAGACTGGTGCGGTCTGTTGTGTCAACCGAGCAGACTCGAACGCCTGCGATAGTAGAGGTTGAGGTACCTTCGAATTCGGCTTTCGATTGACCATGACACTTCGCCTAGGTTCTATGTAATCAAATGCGTAAGTCTAACATTGAAGAAACCAGGGGAAAGCTGCGAGACCAACCTTCATCCAGACATTGGCAAGAAAGACCATAAACTTCGGCCAACTCGCCCGTGAACTTGCGTTTAAAATGATTCTGGGGCTGGAATAGGTGCGAGATCTTGGGTGGTTGTGAGTTGAGGAATTCTTCAAGAATGTTTTCGATTGATTTTACAAACACAAGATTTTGTTGACAAAATTGAAGTAGTTCATCGCTCCATTCGATTCCTAGCTCAACTTTTCCTGGAGTTTGCTCCTCGTTTACAAAAGCGCTCGCAAGGACAAAACTGCGTTGAGAGATCGCGCAATCGTTGTTACATTTCAACACGCGGTCCCGGTTACCTTCGGGACGAAGGTCATTACTTGAACAAGTCACCTTCTGCACTATGTGTCCGCATTGACATCGAACGTCAATTATTGCTTGACAAGCCTTTTCACTCGAGCAGACCGATGGAGCATGGCACTTGATCTGACAGCCATGGCCACTTTAAATTGAAGAAAAGACCGTAATGGCGACACAGAAAGGATGTCAGTGAGAGCAAAAAGACAAAGAGGCCACAAGATGTACCAATATGGTCGAGGTTTGCCACAAGGCTGATCGCAAGTCTCACACTCTCCGATAGGATGGCACAATTTGAAGCACCGATGAGCTCCACAACTCAACAAACTGGATTGGAATCAAGTCATGATTAGTCAGAAGATACACTAGCCAGCTTGAAATGAAGAGACTTGACTGACTTGCCGCAAATCTGACCACAAGTCACCCTCCGTTGTGAACAACGCACATTGCGGATCAGGCTCTTTTTGTCACACTGACAAGGCTTGTTGGCCAAGAATGGACATGGCGGGCATTCTGGTGCTTCGTGGCACTGATGCGGGGCTATGGGGTGGCCACAAGGGAGCGGACCGCGTCTGCAAGGCTGGCTACAGTTCATGATTGTACCGCATGGAACCGGGGGTTGGATCACGGTAGCTCTGAAAAATGTGTACAAAGTTTCCTGTCAGATGAGATGAACATCACCAAGAAACAGGTAAAAAAGAGACTCGCCCACAGTGACAAGCAACCTCATTAAAATTTGCTTGTAGGCACGTCGGACAGGGTCCTTTGTGATCGCGCAGTTGACATGTATGTAGACCGCAACTCAAGGCTCGATTGCAGATCAGGTTACATTGATGTAAGCCCTCAGGATCTTCTTCTTCAGCTTGATGTCGTGATTGATTCTTTTTATTTTTGCCTGTCTTTATCACGCCTTCGAGAAAAGCTAACGGGCAACAAGTTCGATTGCAGGTGTGTTTTCCACAATGCCTAAGGACCCTGCATATCCGTTCACATCGGAATCCCACAGCCTCTTCACCAATTGACACAGGATCGAATGCCGAGTCCAGTTCGCTCGTAGCGGCTTCTATAGCCGTTTCACGCAAGATTTCCACTTCGCAACAAGGACGAATAATGGAATCTTTGCCACAACGGCAAACAGTGGTAATTAATTCTTTACACGAACCGGAGCAAGGCCCAATGTGACAGAGTTGCTGACAAGCGTGACCACAGGCCGAAAGGCGTTTTCCACAAGGGTTACTGCAAGTAGTGATTTTATCGTTACAAGTAAAACGGATTGGTAAACGGGTGGCTCCACAGGGACAAGTCTCCAATACGGATGGGGAGAATGGACAGGTGACGAGTTTTGATGGCCAGTGAGGATGACAGACGGAAGGGCATGAATGAATATTGCACCCAAAGATCCACGGGCATGGCGCTTTGCAACTAAATTCGCCAAGGAAATCCGATCCTTCGGGAGTATTACAGGCTCGTCGAGGATTCTCGAGTAAATTTTCCGACATAATCAAAGGTGTACACTTTTGTTCCGTCTTCACGACCCTACCACAATAGCATGTTTTATCTCTGGTCACTTCACAATCACCACAGTCACCCGCATGACAAGTTCGAGTACAGAAATGTAATCCACATGACAATGGTCGATTACAGATTTGTTCACACGACAATAAGCTATCGTTAATCGGATTCAAATGGCTTTGGATAGGATGAAGTTGACTACAACGAATGGTGCGCACGGTCTTGAGGCAATAACAGGCGGTTTTGATTACCGCGGAGCAAGGTGGACAAGATCCGGGATGACATTCTAGGCTACATGCATGAGTGCAACCTTCGGCGATCAATTTCCCACAGCTCATGCCACATCCATGAGGTATGGATGCTTTTGGACGTCCACCTCCTTCTTGCTTATGATGTCCGCGTTTGGGATGTTCGACCTTTCCACACCAGCATTTGTAAGTCGTTGGTACGCTTTCTTGACCAATGTGAGAGTGTTGGCATCCTGGACACCTCCAACATCCACGTGCAGTTTCCTCGGAGCATGCGATGCCGTCTCTATCTCGAAGAATTTGAGCTTTATTGGCGGTATCAATAACAGAGCGAGATGCCCATTCGGAAGAACAACGAAGGTGAAAGATGGCGAAACAATTTTTGCAGTGATAGATTGGCTGAAAACGGGAGACTGTAGAAAAACAAATCAAACATTCGTAGGCCGACGTTGATAATTCAAGAGTAAGTCGGGCCGACAACGAGAGATCCTGACAAGAGAGTGAAGCGCTTCCAGCGATGTGGTTGTTGGATTTGTCCCCGCTTGCATCTTGCTGAAGCCTCCCATCGGAACCTGAGGGAGCCGTCTCAGTCAATTGAGCACCAAAGCCTTGACGTCGAGCACGGAAATTTGGTCGTGCACCTCGATCCGAAGTGACAGGTGGAGATGTTTCGGGCTCGTTTGAAGCACGCGGCGCATCAGATGAAGCAGAAGTTGCAGGATTTGGGGAGCTCCCAGTAATAGATCGATGATTCACGCCTCTAGCACGACGAGCACGGGCTGGGTTATGTCGCCTTGTGTTTGTGGCCTCCGAGGGAGCGCCTGCTGACTGATCGGAAGGGGGCCTGCCGCGCACAGAAAGACGATTGCCGCTGTTATGCCCGCGGAGCCGGCCGTGCGAATTAGGAAGCCCTTGACCTCTTCCTCTTCCACGTCCTGATCCCCTGGCTCGATTAGACACTATCGGCTCTCCTCTTTGAGAATCTGGTACCTGTCTTTCGACCGCAGACTGGTTTTCCATCATAGCCCTTGATTGGTGACCATGAGCCTATTCTCGATTTATAATATTTGATACGATGCTCGAAGAGTCGATAGTTGTTGGTGTGAAGCGAAAGGCTTGGCAAGTAAGATTTTGGAACGGTAATGAATGGAGCTGGAAAAGTTATCTTGGACTCGATGATGTCAAATCTGGATAAGTGATACTCGAAACTTTCACAAGAGAATCACAAGTTTGAAGCATGACACATGACCTTTCACAATGTAAGCTGTACATACGTGTCAAGTACTACGTGAAACTAAAGCTGTGATCCGACCCTGTGGGCTCAGCCCTGAGTGAACCCGATGACCTCTGAAATCTACTCAGGGACCTAGGGATATGGACAATGTGTTCCTTGAGTAAAATGTTTTTGATAGAACAAATACCAGCTTCTTCTGCATTTTCTGACTGGATCTTGGTAATGAGCTGACCTATCTCTTCTTCTGTGTACTTTCCTTTGTTGATATCATCAACCTTATGTGTTAAGTTCATTTCTTTACAATTACGAGCTAAGGTGGATTGGCTGATTATAATATTATGCTCATTCTTCAAGCATATGAGCATCTCTTCAATTGATTTGCCTTCAGGGAAGTGTTTGCTGATGGCATTAATGCCAACACTTTTGAGCGGAAGGACATTGGGATTGTCCAAGATTGTGTGCTCCTGTTGGCACCCCCGTTTGGGCGGTCCCCTGGATGTCAATGTGTGCAGACGTCTGCAGCACACACTCAGGATGCCTGGCTGGGCCCACATTTAGATAAGAACACCCTTGGAAGCCCATGGGATGTCCAGAATTTTGATTCTGACCTGGGCTCCTTGAATCAGTTTTGTCAGGATGTCCCTTCCCCTGAAAAAAATCTGATTGTCCCTAGGACATCTGTGTGTCCTTGTGGTGTACTGTCAGCTCTGTGAATGTCATTGAGCAGAGTTGGCCAGGCAGAGCCGGGGTCCAGGTCACAGCCCTAAGTAAAACCTCAACACTTCCAAACAACTTTGATCAAAACCTGTTTGGATCAAACAGCCATCACTTTCATAATTCACAATAAGAGATCAATCCTTCAATTGTGATTTGTTGGGTTTGGGTGCCACATCAATGGCTGACATTGATCTGACCCTCCAATCATCCAAATTTCCACTCATCTAGATACCATGGTATGACATAGTGATCCCACCACCAGTCTCCACACATGACTAATTGTGCACAACATCTCACAAGATCATATGACCATCCCACTGTACTCAACTGAGCAAATGGTGGATGTACCACCATCTAGATACCCTCCAAGAATTATGTTTGACAATTCATTACCCCCCTTGGATATTCTCACTTACAAACATAAACTTCAATCAAAGGTGGAGGACAGTTAACTGTTGCTGACAAATTCAATTATAGGTACACCACAGAATGAGCTCAAAGGATCTTTGGTAAGAATTATGGGTCAAGATGAATGCAATCTTCATCAATAATCACAGTTGGCAAGAAGTAAGATATAAATGGTGAGATAAGAAAACATTGTATAAAAAATGGCACACAGAGTACAATTTCTGTTCAGGTTTTGTAGGTACAGAAAAACCTTTGAGCCAAATTCACATCAGGATAAAACACATTCCTCTGATATTCCAACTGGAATGCAATGAGTGTTCAGAACATGAAGTGACTTATCTTGTTTAAGATAATGAAATAAACACCCACAAGCTCTGTCAGAGTTTGTTGAGGTATGATTTCCAGGTACTGAAGGGCTGTGCAGGGAATGAGTGAACTGGGAAATCTAGGGAGTTCTCTGTGCCAGATTTTATTCTTTGTATATGCTCAATCCAAGATTTAAGTAAATGAACAACACAGGAACGTGGGACACCATAGCTATTGGAAAATCCAGATAGCTTTCTAAACATAGCTTCAGGACGATCTAGGTCATTTATATTGAGCTTGACAGAATTTTCATCATGGTTGAATAAGTATGGATGGTTTTCAGCCTGGAAATCAAATCTCTCCCATTGAGAAAATTCTTTCTTGAGGAAATCCCATGCATTTATTAATAGAAGCTGAATTTGATCTTCTGATAAAAAATCCTCATTAAATGCCCTTATGAGACCAATAAATACCACAGTGAGTTTGTACTGTGCCATACTGACTCCTTTGATGATCTGAGCAGTGTTCATTTCATGTTTGTTTTTCAATATCTTAATATCTTCCGGCTGTAGTAGCTGGTCAGATTGGTATATCTCCTTGTCGTTGTACAAAACATGTAGCTTGTGGTTGAGGTTCTCGAAGAAGATGTGAACATCCTTACACATCTCTCTACCAATTGGTGTATGGAACTGAGCAGCTTTGGAAGCAAATGATGCCATTTCTGTCTTGCTGTATGGTTTTCTCTCCTTTGAATTGAGTCTTAATAACTTGTCTGCTGCTTGGAAAGAATAATTTCGAATTTGACCTCTTCCATACAGACCACCTTCCATTGAAATAGAATCAGTGTTGTATACATTTAACACTTTCTCCCAATCTGTGGTCAAGAATCTTTTTGGAATTTTGGAATTTTCTCTATGTTTTGCAAATTCAATTGCCATCTCATGTACCATCTTGACTGACAGATCCTTGGTATAAGCTCTGGCTATTAAATAGAGGAGCTGAGACTGTGGATCTAAAGACCATTTACCCCCCTTGTGTTTATTGAGTTTGCCAGTCACATAGATTTCTTTATCATTCCACTTATCATAGAAGTTCTCCATGTAAGTCCAACCATCCTCAAGGAGGCTTTCTAATTCATCTTTCCCTGTGTCATTATACTCAAAGACTTTGAGTATACCAAGGAATGGCATCACAACTCCATATAATGCGTTTTTCACTGCCAAGTGGATCTTCTTGCTCTTGATTTCTCCTTTGAATCTCATCTCCATCTTGCGGTATAAATCAAGAAACCACTCATAAACTTTGTAGCAAAGGGTTGGGGATCTATCCACAGCTTGAGTCCCAACACTTTGAAGCCTGCAAAATTGAGCTCTTTTATTTCCACCACCACATTCTACATATTCAAGGCTTCCAATGTGTGAAACTTGAGCATGACCAATTGGAATGTCATGGGCATAGTTTTTTTGTACTGCAGTGACAGCTGCATCATTTATTTGAGACAAAGAATTTGAATCTCTTTGCACTTCCTTGTACTTTTTACTCCTGATATTTGGAAACTGGTCATTTGTGAGCTTTATTATCTTGGTTTTGTCTGATGTAAGATCCCATACTTCTTTCCTTTTGTGGAAGACTGGGTTTTTCCCAGGATCTAGATTCTCTGTACCTACCTCATTCAAAGTCTCTTGATATCCTTCAAAATTTCCATTGTACTCTCTATTGCCACTCTGTTGATGTGTATTGGAGCTTAAATCTTCTGAGATATATGGAGTTCTTCGTTCTTGCATTGAATCCACTAGCTGAGAACTGCTTGAAGAAAGCCTTTCCTGCAAGGTAAGTCTGAAGGGTAACCCCTCTTCTGCTCTGTGTGGGTGAATGAGGGTTGGATTTGTCCAGGTTTTTGGGCCAAAAAGTTTGTTGTAATTTTCAAAGCACTCAAGAAGTGGTGCATCTGGATAAATAAGTGTTCTGTGATTTGGAATTGGTAGACTGAATGAAGAGCTAGGGTGACTACTTGGCATTGGGAGCCCATTCAAATAGCCAGAAAGTATCTCATCATAAGTAATTTGACTCAATTTTGGGAAAGCTGGGTGTGCTTGTTCTATGGAATTGCATGGATTGTAGTCCTCAGGCATTTTAAAACACTGATTTTTGTATGAAGGGTTGTCCATTCCAATTATCTCTGAGGGAAGTTGACCATGAGGATGCATTGAATCACTGAAGCCATAATTTCCAAGTTCTGATTCAGGAAAATGAACCCTACTTATTTGAGGGGTCTGGTTTGTGTATATTTGGTCAACTGTTTTCTGTTTAATCTGATTCGATTCTGTGATGGATAATTCAGAATAAGTTGACTCAAAGGCTCCTGTGAGACTATTGGGCTCACTTGAAGACAATAAATTGGTCTGACCCATTTGTGGGTTGGTATTCATTCCTTGGTGATATGGTGGATAAAAAAGCAAATTTGAGTGGTCTTGAGAATTGAAATACCCATCCCATGATTGAGTGTGACCATCATATGTGTCTTCAAGTTTTGGTTGTACAAGATCATTGTACCAATCATAATCTGTATAAATATCTTCTGGTGAATGGGCTGGCATCTTTCCAAGATCTTGCTGACTGGGCCCTCCAGATCCAGGATCAACAAATGAATTTGATGGAACACCAGCATTCCTATGTGATAGATATTTTAAGCTGTCTCCATCGGTGTGTTTTAGCTCAAATCCTGAACATATTCCTAAGGAATAAAGTCTGAGAAAACTAAGTAGAAGAACCTGCATTAGGATTAGGAATGTGATGTAAATATATGGTTCATATGGAGGAAAATTGAAAACCTTCCTTCCACCATCCACTTTCATCAAGAAAGTCTTATTTTATGGATTACACATTCAAAACAAGTATTGTTCACATATCCACTGAATTGCATATCCAACATGTTTTGGATGAGTGATGCAGTGTGTCACCATGTTCACTGTAAACATCATTCAACTTCCCCAATTTGGAAGAGGAAAATGATTAATAGTACAGTTTGTCATAAAAGAATCTAATACTGCACACCTGAGCCATTTCACCCACACTACATATGTGCAGCAAGCTAAGTCAATAGTTGTCTATCATGTACATACAGGTCTGCTCGTTTTTTGCCCATCAGAATAAATAGATCACATGTTATACCACATGTAACTTTTTTGACTTTGAGAAAATTGTCCCAAAAATTCACTACATATAAGTCTGTAGCTGCTCAGGCAATATTCTTGAAGCTATTTCTTAGTAACAGAAAGGGTGTTACATGCAGTCGAGTTGATGAGATTACACCAAAACATTGAGTCAGTGTATGTAGTCAATCTTTTGAACTTGTTTTTTGATCTCAAAAAAGTTACAGTGTCTATTACATATGAATAACTTATCTTGATGAGCAGATAGCTGAGCAGAATGGTATGTACATGATAACCACATATTCACTAAGCCTGCTACACATATGTAGTGTGGGTCTTGTGGCTCAGGTGTGGAGTGATAGATCATTTTATGGCAAATCATACTCCCAGTCACTTTTTCCTGCCCACTTGGGGAAGTTGAATAATGTTTGCAGTGGTTCTATAAAGTTTTTCCAAGATCTGGAGATTATTCAAAAATCTTGAGATGATGTGTCTGCTTGAAAACACTACAGTATGGAAAGAACACTGAGGGAACAGGCTCTAAATTAGACTATATAAAGTGTTTTGTCTAGTCAACTTCAAGCACAAGAACAGACTAAAGTAACAGAATCAAAAGACATAGTGTGAGATAAAAGAGTAAACAGAAAGGAGCATCAGAAGAGCAATCTTGATGAATTATAAGGAATATTTACCTGTGATCTTGTAAAGAAAAGAGAGAGCACATGTAAGAGGCTATTTGAGAATAGAAAATAATTGAATTTTCTACTAAGCTGAGAGTAATCATATCAATACAAATAGATGTGTGAAATTAAAGTAAAATGAATAGGAGGGAACACTTTGACTCTTTTCAACACAAAAAGAATCAGAAAATAGTGCAAAAGAAAAATACAAAGGAGATACAAAGAGAACAGATAACCCTCAAATATGTTCCTCCATTACCCTCAGATCCAATCTTCCAGATGTTACCCCTTTATTCACCAACAATTTACCACTCCCAAACACACTCCTACTACCCACAGCTCATCATTTACTACCTCCACTCAATTCACAATAATTACTAAAGTAGGGAAAATAATTCTTTGACTACTTGACAAGATAGTAGCTTAACATGCTCTGAGGTATTTTTTCAATCATTGTACTTTCACATGGAACTACAGCCATTTGAATCCATACATTTTAACATTGCTTGTTATATTATTTTGAAAGAAACAATTAGTGTGAGGCCAATACCTGGGCTTTTCCTAGATAAAAACTCAACCGTGATTTTCATTCTATGTAATACCACCCAATTCAATGTTTAGATGAAATTGAAGTGAAGAATGAGTGAAAAAACATGGTTAAAACATATAAACCAGCCAACTTGAAGTACAACAATTCTAACATAAATGCCTAGTATTAAGAAATCCAAGGCATCATTGGAGGCAAATCCTTGGACAGATCTTGTCTAAGGTCTTTAAATGATATATTCTTCTGCCCTGAGAAACACCTCAGATCAAACCCTCCAAAAGCTTCTGTGCAAGCTTTGGATTCCAAGAAAACTTCAGGCTTTTTAATCTGAGGTCAATATGTTGGCAGTTCAGGGGAATAAATCCATGCTTTATTGTAAACAACAGAATGAGGTCAAAGGATCCTTAGTGAATATTGTGTGTCAAGACAAAGCCAATATTCATATAAGATCAGTGAAACAGAGGTGAGATATAAATGGTAGCATAAGAAAAACAGTATTTGAAAAAGTGAGCACAATTTTTGTTCAGTTCTTGTAGATGCAGAAAAAACTTCCAGCCAATTTCACACTAATATGAAACACATCCCTTTGATATATCAACCTTAACAAGTTTTCAGTAAATGAAGTGACTAAACTTGCTTGAGATAAGGAAATAAACACCCACAATTTTTCTCAGAGTTTGTTGAGGTATGATTTCCAGGTAGTGAAATGCCGTGCAGGGAATGATTGAACTGGGAAATCTAGGAAGTGCTCTGTGCCAGATTTTATTCTTTGTATATGCTCAATCCAAGATTTAAGTAAATGAACAACACAGGAACGTGGAACATCATAGCTGTTGGAAAATCCAGATAGCTTTCTAAACATAGCCTCAGGATGATTTAGGTCATTTATATTAAACTTCATAGAATTTTCATCATGGTTGAATAAGTATGAATGGTTTTCAGCTTGGAAATCAAATCTCTCCCATTGAGAAAATTCTTTCTTGAGGAAATCCCATGCATTTATTAATAGAAGCCGAATTTGATCTTCTGATAAAAAATCCTCATTAAATGCCCTTATGAGACCAATAAATACCACAGTGAGTTTGTACTGTGCCATACTGACTCCTTTGATGATCTGAGCAGTGTTCATTTCATGTTTGTTTTTCAATATCTTAATATCTTCCGGCTGTAGTAGCTGGTCAGATTGGTATATCTCCTTGTCGTTGTACAAAACATGTAGCTTGTGGTTGAGGTTCTCGAAGAAGATGTGAACATCCTTACACATCTCTCTACCAATTGGTGTATGGAACTGAGCAGCTTTGGAAGCAAATGATGCCATTTCTGTCTTGCTGTATGGTTTTCTCTCCTTTGGATTGAGTCTTAATAACTTTTCTGCTGCTTGGAAAGAATTATTTCGAATTTGACCTCTTCCATACAGACCACCTTCCATTGAAGTAGAATCAGTGTTGTATACATTTAACAATTTTTCCCAATGTGTGGTCAAGAATCTTTTTGGAATTTTGGAGTTTTCCCTATGTTTTGCAAACTCAATTGCCATCTCATGTACCATCCTGAGTGATATTTCCTTGATATGAGCCCTTCCTTTTAAGTATAGGAGCTGAGATTGAGGATCTAAAGACCATTTACCTCCCTTGTGTCTATCACGTTTCCCATCCACATGTATCTCTTTATCATTCCACTTATCATAGAAATTCTTCATGTATTTCCACCCATCCTCAAGGAGTCTCTCTAATTCATCTTTACCAGAATCATTGTACTCAAAGACTTTGAGGATACCAAGGAATGCCATCACAACTCCACATCCTGCATTTTTCACTGCCAAATGAATTGTTTGGCCCTCAATTTCTCCTTTGAATCTCATCTCCATCTTGCGGTATAAATCAATAAACCACTCATAAATGCTGTAGGAAAGTGTTAGGGATCTATTCACAGCCTGAGTCCCCACACTTTGAAGCCTGCAAAATTGGGCTCGTCTATTTCCACCACCACGTCTGAGAGATCCAAAGCTTCCGATGTGTGAAATGTGAGAGTGTCCAGAGACTTTCCTTGATGTTGAAATGTCTTGACCTTGTTTTCCTGCTACCAGTGACAATGTGGCAGCTGAATTATTTCCTTGGGAGGAATAACTCAAATCTCTCTCAACTTCCTTGGAATTTTTACTCTCAATGTTTGAAGACTGCCCATTGGTGAGTGTTTTTACCTTTTCTTTGTCCTGTGTGAGGTCCCATACTTCCTTCCTTTTGTGGGAGACCGAGTCTCTCCATGTATCTAGAGTCTCTGGGCCTTCCTTGTTGAACTTCTCTTGATATTGTTTAACATTTTCATTGTACTCTCCATTACCACTCTGTTGCTGTGTAGTGGAGCTGAAATCTTCTGAGATATATGGGGTTCTTCTTTCTTGCATTGAATCTACTAGTTGAGAACTGCTAAAGGGAAACCCTCCCTCAGAGGTGAGTCTGAAGGGTAACTCCTCCTCTGCTTCATGTGGGTGAATGAGGGTTGGAGGTGACCTGCTTTGTTGAGTAAAAATGTTGTTGTAATTCTGAGAGCACTCAATGAGTGGTGCATTTGGGGAAATGGGTGTTCTGTGCTTTGGAATTGGTATATTGCATGAAGAGCTAGGGTGACTACTCAGCATTGGGAACTCATTCAAATAGCCATAAAGTATCTCATCATGGGTGCCAGGACTAAAGTTGTGGAAAGCTGGGTGTTCATGTTCTATGTAATTGCATGGATTGTAGTCCTCAGGCATTGTAAAATGATTAGTTGTATATGAAGGGTTCTCCATTCCAATTATCTCTGGGGGAAATTGATTATGACAATGCATTGAATCACTGAAGCCATATATATTTTCAATTTCTGATTCAGGCAAATGATACCTGATTTGTTGAGGGGTTTGGTTTGTGTACATTTGGTCCTCTATCTTCTGTTCAATTTGGCTTGATTCTGGTATTTCATGATAAGTTGACTTGAAGGCTCTTGTGAGACTATGGGGCTCAATTGAAGTCAATATATCTCTGTGATCCATTGTTGGCATAGTATTTATTGCTTGGTGATATGGTGGATGAAACATCAAACTTGAGTGGTCTTGAGAACTTGAATGCCCATCCCATAATTGTGTGTGACCATCATATATGTCTTCAAGATTTGGTTGTGCAAGATCATTGTACCAATCATAATCTGTATAAATCCTTTCTGGTGAATGTGCTGGTATATTTCCAAGATATTGCTGACCAATTTCTCCAGATCCAGGGTTGACAAGGGAAATTGATGCAACACCAGAATTCTTATCTGATAAATATTTCAAAATGTTTCCATCTGTGTGTTTCAGCTCAAATCCTGAACATGTTCCCAAGGAATAAAGTCCAAGAAAATCAAGTAGAAGAACCTGCATCATAATCAAGAATGTGATGTAAATATGTGAATAACTAGGGTTCAGATGAGGGGAAAATGGAAACCTTTCTCCCACAAATCCACTCTTATCAAGAAAGCCTTATTGTATGGATCACAGGTACAAGACTGTTATCTTTCCCATATTGAGTGAATCACACATCAAACATGTTTTGAATGTGTAATTCAGTGTTTCAGAATGTTCTGGGGTATTGTTTCAATCATGGTTTTACATTAGTCATTATACCATCCTCTCTAACATACATACCATTTTTTCAATCCGTCCACCTATTCTCTGCAAAGCCCAATGCTAGACCTGATTTTAACAGGTATGTTTTATTTTTTACCAACAGCCCTATCGAAACACAAAGCACCCTGACTTGTTATGGACACATATAGTCTCTATGAAACTCACCTCAAGTTCCTTGTTATGTATTGCTGTCACAGATGCAGCCTGATCTCATAAGTTGACAAAGATCACTGATTTCTTGATCATTTTGGCCACAACTTCCAAGATCTTAGATGTTCCTGGTTTGCTTGGAAAATTCTGTGTGCTTTTCTGCTTCACAACTTCAAGCTTTTAATAATATATGAAAAGCCCAATTTTGCCAGTACACAAATTCACACTCCTTCTACTGCAAGACTTTCATTGTTCTGGTTCAGGTGATCCTATTTCTTGTAGTTTCACCAAGTCAAATGATCCCTCTATTCCTCTGCATCCCACACACATGGTGCTGAGTATATGTGCTGAAATGATTTCACAAACACCCATCATCAACTTCTCTGATGATCCATCTCTTCCAATGAATAATTCTACCTCTGTCTACAACAAGTCTCTGGGGACTGGCCTGCCAGTGACTTGTGATTGGGGGATGTGAGTTTGTTCCTTCTATTAAGTGATAATCCAGAGATCAGTATTTTAACAACAAGAGTGAGGATAAAACAAAAAAGGAATGCCTACATCTTTAATTGTTTGTTCAGGTATTTCAAAATAGTCTACCACAGGGGTATAGTCCGGCCCCTCTTCTTCTTCCTTGGTGTTCACAAGTAACTTTGTCCTCCTTCCTTTCTGAAAATATGTGAGGCCGTCATCTGAGTCTTGATGGATTTTGTATCAGGTAGTAAATCATCATGAGGGGCCTATTAAACAGGAATAATGGTTGGCATCAGTAGCATGTATCATGAAAAAAATTAAGCCATATTACTGTCAGGGTGGCGCTTATTATAGAGGGTAAGTGGTCTAGCCTTCACCAACCTAGAGGTTCTGACAAAGATCCTTCTGGTTACGTGGGATAAGAATTCTGTATGTCCTAAGGCTAATCTATGAGCTCAGGATAGGTAGACTGGGATGGGTTATGCTGATTTTGAGCTGACAAGTCAATAACAAACTATGAGCACTGACCACAGCCTACTGCAGGGTGTCACAGTTGAGAGCTGGTGTAGCTCTAGGAAAAGGTGGTTACTCTCAAAGGCTGATGTATTTAGGGAGGACTGAGTTCAAAAACAACAGGGATCTAATCAGCTATACACTGTTATAACAGTGGTATCTAGACCAAGGTGATTTACTAACCAGAATTTATTAAATGTTTACTTTGAGAAGTTAATAAGAGTCAATCTTGTTTCTTAACTGGATGACATCTTTACTGCATTGAAATTAAAGAGGAAGAGACCACAATGGTAAGTTTAATTTCCCAAGAAGGAAGACACTTCAATATGGGCCACTAATCCAGCAGGGTTCTTTCTTTTAAGGAGTAGAACTAACAAAGCACAAGAAGTACTATACTAGCTGGGCAATATTTAAAGTAGAAAGGTTTCCCGGATCAAAAAATTGAAGCTCACAAGGGGGGTTGAAAGAATGTCAGTCCTCCTCTGTTTCTTCTGAGAATACCCTTCCTCTTATACCTTTGCAAGTCTTGCAGCTGACTCGTGGTTGTGATGTGGTACCTTGAGATTGTCACCTATGGTTGGTATTAGGTCATGGGGCTCCATTCCCTTTTGGGTCAGCAGTAATGGAGGAGTCACATTTCTTGTTGTCGTTTTGGTGTTTTTTGTGATTGTCTTTGGAATATCATTAGGGCTCTGCCCTTTTGGGACTAGCTGTTTGAAATTTGTAAAAAAACCTGTGTAGTCTTTACTTACTGTTGGTATTGTATTCCTATTCTTAGGGTTTTAAAGGGTACTTGTTGCCTTCAATAATAGTTATTATTTGTAAATGTCTGTGAAATCTAGACATAAGGTATTTATATATTTTCTCAGGTTTTTATATTTTGGGGCCATGAGGTAGAGAAATATGTAGACTTTGATCAATTATGGTTGACCATCATACATTTCTCTAAGACTTGGTTGTCCAAGACCATTGTACCCACATTGATTCCTATGTACATTTTCCATTGGCTGTAATGGTGCATGTCCAAAACATTGCTGCCCAAGTCCTCAAATTCAGGATCATCAAAGGAAATAGATTCAATGCAAGGATCTATGTCTGATAAGTATCTGAAATTGTTTTTATCTTCTTGTGTCAGCTCAAGTCCTGAACATGTCTTAAAGGGAAAAAAAGTGTAACAAGAAGAAGTGGAAGAATCTGCATTGGAACCACAAATGGGATGTGTGTACAAAATAATTATGGTGCAGGGAAAGCTGGAAAACTTTCTCTTTCAAAGTATCTTTTATTAAGCATGCCTAAGCTTTGGAATACATGCATCAAACAAGTGTTGCTCACCTCCCATTGACTGCATTACACATCAAACATGTTTTGAATTGGTGATCATACTGTCTGCGAGCATGGTATGAGGTATCTGCTGCTCCTATAGCTTTGAGTGGCTTTTTGAAAGTGGGTGGGTGTACAAATTTCCTTCAGGGTGGACAACAATCAGAAAATGTCATAGCTGCCATGATGCAATTAACACCAGAGTGACGGTGCTGGGGGTTTCTCAAAAACCCATGCAGAGATATGTACTTCTTTCCTTAAGCTTATCCTTGATGTGTGCTATGATTGATGCCTATTTCAAGGTTTGAAAAGTTCATCAAAGGGTGCAAAGAGGCAGCACATTACATAGACACCCAAGACACACCTTTGCCAGGCCAAGTTTCTGGTATCTGGGATGAATGATTCAATAGTATGATTGATAAAACAATGAAGGTGATGTGGCTTTCTTCAGAGATTGACGTGGGTCTAATTTTTGAGCAGCATGAGTATAAGGGAAGAGGGTCAGCTTCAAAGCCATGACTGGAGGTCAGAATATGTATCTGAGGAAATCTGCCATTCTGTCTCTTTAAATTTTGACCTGGATGGAGCATCCCTCCCATCTGTCCTTTCATGAACAACTTCTCCTTTAGACCTCAACTCTTTTGCTATTTAGTTTCTGCTGATGATTAGGTTTATGTCAGGATTTCCATTGGTGGTAACATGTTTGACTATACTCATTCAAAAAGATCAGCAGTCTGTACCATTTCTTTAGGTTTGCTGGTTTGATCCTATGATGGTTTTGTCAAAAGTATGGAAAGGGCCGCTGCCAGAGGGAATTCTTTGATTGTAATAAAATGTGGTACATCTATACTATCCCCCTCATGCACAGCTGTGCATGACTTGAGACTTGCGTGTCCAAACAGCCCGTCATGTGGAGCCTTAAACCCTTGATTCCCCTTTGCCCCTCTTGGATTGATTGCCTCGCTAACGAACATACCTCTTGAGTCTTCAAACTTCAGCTCGCCATCTCGTTGAAATTCTTTACAGTTCTCACTGCGTGACCTAATGTGACAAATTGTGACGAGTAAGTCCATCCCTCCTTGATGACACCCTACGATTGAGATAAAGTCGTTCGTTGTGATGGTAAAGTACTTCACAGCATTCGACCTACATAGCAAACGTATTTATTTCGGTCGTTTAGTCAGGTGAATTTGAAATACAGATCAAATCCCCAGTTTAAGTTGTAATTTTGGGGGCGATAGTCAGAAAACAACCTTTTTTGTGCCATACATAAACATACTGACATACATACAGCTTCGACTTGTCTCTCCTCAGCTCTGCTCTCTCCATCTTGGCCCAGTTAACCTTCACTCTCACTCCTCTCCTGCCTGATCATCAGCGTCGTCGCCTTTCACCTCGACTCCTCTTCTGGGGATTCAAGTCGTTCCTGCTGGTCTTTTTTGCACCCCCTGAACTCTTTGTCTTTTGATTTTCTCACATGTCTACCATCGCCCAACGACATTTACCTCGCGATCAGCCAAAAAACATGAATCAATCTACTTATTCTTCTCGAAGTCATTACCGACCTTTACCAAAGACCGCCTCGGCTCGAGGCAATTGGAAGCTGGACACCTTTGTCGATAAGACAAGCGGACAACAGAAAGAAATCGTTATTCTCGCTGATACCCCTAGTCCTGGTAAGCTCGTCTCCTTGTTTTTGGTTTTCATTTCCCTATTACTTTATCTCGCTTTCTTCCATTTTTCTGCATCTCGGTCTCTCTGGAAGAAGCAAAGCATAATTTGAATGCCCTTAAGCGGGTCGATATCTAAGCACTCCTTAACGAAAAAGCGCTATATATGCGTCTTTTTGTCTGGGTTACTTGTTCTCCATTCCATGTGTCTGCTCTGGCCCGTCTTGTGGTCAACCAGCTCGCCCCACTCATCTCGCGGATGCTCACTGACCTTGTCTACTTCTTTACTCTACGTAGCTCCGCATGCAGGTCCATCCAGATCCAATGGTTTGTCACGGAATGATGGTAAGCCGCAAATTGAATTTCAGGTCTTGGCAGCTCGGTTGACTTTGAAACGTTAGTTCACATCGCGGGGAGTAAGAGCAGCAAGACCACTTCTTCACATCGCCCCACCTATGATTCCCCCGCCCATTCAGCGTACTACGTGCCCAGCGGATACCCGGACTCCAAACCCACGAAAGGGAAACGAAAATATGATTCATACTCATCTGGTCAACAAGTAAGTGATTTCTAACCTTTCATCTGCATATGATGCCCCTAGTCTAACGATCTCCTTATCTTATCAGCAGCGGGAAGAGGAGCGTGAGCGTAAACGTCGCGAACAAGAGAAACTACCGATAGATGACAAGGAGGGGCACTACATCGTTCGGCCCGACGACGTGCTTGGTGACCATCGGTGTGGGTCTCTCTTTTCCCTAGCCAAATTGACACATTGCTCATGTATCTTTGATCTAGACCAAGTGGTGAAACTTCTGGGCCAAGGAACATTCGGAAAGGTGGTACAGGCTATTGATCTTCACTCTGGACTTGATCGCTCCGGTCGAAGGAGAGAAGTCGCGGTCAAGGTAATCCGAGCCGTGCAAAAATGCAAGTGGTTTGCCCTTCAGCCTATCCACACCTGCTGTCTAGCTTACTTTTTTAAATCATTGTACAGACCGCGATGCCAGCAAGATTGAAATTAAGGTACTCAACCTCCTGAGGGAACGAGATCCAGAGAATGTCAAGTATGTGTCTTTCTGTTGTCTATGAAAAACTCTATCTTGATGATTGCAACAAACTGAGCAGTGTAACATTCTTCAGTAAATGTATTCACCTATTAGACTATTTCGATCATCGAAACCACATATGCATCGTCTCCGAGCTGCTCTCACAATCGGTCTTCGACTTCTTGAAAGACAATCAATACAGTCCATTTCCTCTTAGTCATATCCAAAGTTTTGCCAAACAATTATTATCGAGTGTTGCTTGTCAGTCCACTCTTCTATCATTTTTGATGACGTTTCCATTGACATCTTTTGCCCCTCTTAGTTCTACATGAGTTGAGACTTGTGCATACGGACCTAAAGCCTGAAAATATCCTCTTGGTTGATGCTTCAGCATCTGTGCTCTCTACCAGAGTTTGTCAAATACCATTTTTTCTTGCATGCTGTTAGAGTGCTAATCCATGTATCGCTTTCAGCATCCAAAAGGAAATGGCAAGTCATCAAAGAAAGTTTTGCACTCGTCGGACATCCGTCTCATCGACTTTGGCAGTGCTACTTTTGAGGATGAGTACCACGCAGCTGTTGTCTCCACCCGCCACTACCGCGCGCCTGAAATCATTTTAAGTGAGCTATCTAGTTGTTTTGTTATGAGATGTACATATCTGACCACCTTTTTTTGTTTTAGACATGCCCTGGTCGTACCCATGCGATGTCTGGTCCATTGGCTGCATTCTCATAGAATTCTTCACTGGTGAAGCGCTCTTTCAAACCCACGAGAACCTAGAACATCTTGCAATGATGGAGGCTGTTTTCGGGAGCATGCCTGACTCTTTGGTCAGGAAAGCAGCGTAAGTCTTTTGTCACCTCACCTTTTCTTCTAAATAATGAGGCTAAAACGGTTGAATCGTTCCCAGGAGGAACCGTCCTGAGTGGATCACAGAAGACTATTGCTTGGACTACCCTCAGCCCAGCACCTCGCGCCAGAGTAAAAAGTTTGTCCGTGCGATGAAGCGTCTGGAGGTTCGTCGGGCCTCTTCATCCAACAGGCATTGCGTTTCTTTCGCGTCATATTTGCTCACTCCCTGCGTGTTCCTTACAGGATATCATCCCGCAAACATCCATCGTCAATGCACGTTTCAAGGATTTGCTTAGTAAATTATTAGAGTGGGAGCCGCACAAGCGAATCACTGTCAGAGAAGCCTTGAAACACAGCTATTTCACTCTTAAAATTGACGACGAAGGAACAGGTTACTAGTTTTCATTTCCTTTTATGTTTCAACTTGTTTGTATGAATTGGCTTCGAACTTTTTTTTATCTCTCGGTCAACAAAAAAATAAAGGGATGAGACTAAAATACTGACACACAGGTCTAATTTCTACTCAGTGAGATGTATATTCTAATCGAATCTTTCATATTTTTCACTCGACTTTAAACGTATCAATATTATCCTTGTCGTCTACATTGTGTGCTCCTTAAAACAGATTTACTTGATCTGATGATACATTGTCTTTTACCTTTTCACTGTTGTCATTGTGTGTCTTTGCTTTGCATCATTTAGCTCTACCCCGTTTCTCTTCCGTGAGATCAAATTATAATTAGGTACATTCCTTGATTGCTCATCAGTTTTGCCTCAAGCAGCAGGTGGGTTTCAAGGGGAAACCCGCGTCTCTCCCTTTCCGTTCTTGTCCCCATCCGAAACTGATGAATGACCTTTTTCCTTGAGAGGCCACATTGTTTGATTTATGAGTACTATTACATTGAACTTTTGCCTGTCTCAACCTGGGGGTCTTCTGTCATTTTCAGCGTTCGCCTGAAACCTAGGTTTGGTACGTAATCAGCCATCAAAATTGCAAACAAGACCACTAACTCCAAGTAATCTCCGTCACGGCCGAGCAGAGATCATGATTGACCTGGTCAAACACTATTGGCGAAGTCCATTGATTGATTTATCCAAAGGATGCGCGTATGTGTAAATATTCAGATTTTACAAGTTTCTACGCTAAAGTCTGGGAAGTTGAAACCCGACACAAACTCACAGAACCCTTTTGCAGTTTGATGTTGTCTCAAGCCCTGGTTTGTAAAACCACTACATTTCCTCATGCAAGAGTACACCAAGAGTAAAGGAGAATCCATGGTTCAAATATACTCAGGAGTCACACTGAAATCCTTTACTAATCAAGGCCAACACCTTCAGGTGTGGGGCTCCTACATGTACATTTTCTCTCCATACAGCTATCTCTTCTCTGGTCATGCAGCATCTGAAAACCCTGCTGACTAAGGTAATCAAAAAATGGGCGGAGTAGTGCAGAGAGGTATCAATCACAATCAATGCTAGTTGTCTTTAGCTCATACTGAACTCTGACTCAACCTCCAGCAATATCAAAGGCAAAAGTTTAGGTTCTGGTGACTGCATGCTGCTAGTACTATGTTTGCAGAGATATCTTGTTCAGTATCCATTGACGAGGAATTGACATCAAAGTATGCTTTTAAGCAATCACCCTTCAATGCTTGGTGAAAATCATTCAGGGCTTGGGGCATTTTGTGCAAGTAGGTATGTCATTTCAATGGCTTAGAAGGATTATTACTATAGTGAACAAACATTACACCTAATTCAATTTACTCAACCCTTTGACTTATGAGTTTGGTGGTAAAAATTTAGTAAGGCAGCTAGGCTTGAGATTGTCCTTGACAAAGAATTCAGCTCAATATAACCACCATGCGCAAGCCACCTATGTACATCAAATGGAGGTTCAATGCAACACAACACTGCTACCCCTTCACCACAGCCCCTCAATCAAACCTTTTTCAATTTTAGTTTCATGCAGTTTAATGATGCTTCACACACTGGTTGATAATGTACATCAAGACAGAACCCCACAAAGCCCCAAACATCTGATGTAATTCCAGCAAAAGTCCATTGATTCATACCACAAAGACAAACTTTTTGAGCCCTTTGATACTAATCTTCTTGATAATATAGAATGGTGTGGAAGTTTATTTGGGCAGTTTCAAAACCTATTCCATCAGTGACATGCTGTTTGTTGCCTTTGATACCATTTTTTGTAATATAGCCAAAATCTCAACCCCTAATTGATGTGGTTTGTATTGAATTAGGGGCTTTCCAGGTTCTATATCAAGACTATCATGCACCACAAAACAAGAGCTCATCTACAAGGAAGTTGAAGATCAAGATTCCCAGAAGCAGTAGCATCCACCATGTTTTTCCTAGAAGCAAGCAAAAAGTCTCCATTTCCATAGAATGACTGAAACACAATCTTGATATTGAACCCACCAGATATTCTATAACTCTCATGTACCTTGTTGACCAAGGCCTCTCATTACACAATGTCATAAATTCTTGTCCATGAAAAACACCATGTTACTCTACAGCCAGTCTTCTTTCTACATAGTCCACTTTCAGATATACTACACAGTGTCCCAGTGCTACAAGATCTTTGGCCCTTTAGTGTACACCACGAGCCCTGTAAAAGTTGACAAACCGTTTTTGGGGGGTTGTGAGAATTCACCGTTGAAGCCCAGTTGGCTGAGGGTTGGGGCTCGGGGCTTACATCGGCTTCGCCGTCGTTTGACTGAATGCGGTTGTTTGACAGCTGATCAAGTGGTTGCACAGCTGCATTCAGTTTAACAACAGCAAAACCGATGTCAAAAGAACGGTTGTTGCGATTGCCTTCCCTTCAAACGGATTACACACCGCGAGACTTGCCCTTAATGAAGGAAGTGTCTCGTTACCCTTTAATCAAAGGAGGAACACAAGCCAACCTTGTAATTTTTCAACCTTACGATTTTTGACTCTTGATCCCAATGAACACCCTTTGATTGTTCAAAGGAGAAACATTGGTCGATCTCAATGTTGTTCCATCTCATCGTCTTCCATCTCATCGTCATCTACTTCCTCAAGAACCGGCTTGATAACATGGTCAACCCACCGGGCGTACCCGATTGTGATTCTTCATCCTTTTGAATGAAAGTCGATCCAAGCTGAGCTGATCATGTGCTGTGCGTTACATCAGGCTTCAAGGAGGCAGACCATCAATCGGGTTCCGGCAAAGATTATTCGTGTCTTGCTTGTGATGGACTGCGGTCATTGAAAGTTGGCTCTATTCGACGACACTGTCAAAACCAATCACATTTGACCCATCTCGCACGATGGGAAGAAGCTCAAAGAAACATCCCTGCACCCATCGAACCTGTTCGAATTAATTTAACACCGCCCCCACCCGACTCAGACCAACATCCACCCGAATCAGGTGATGAAAGTGACGAAGTCCAAGAAGTCGATGATACAATGATCACAACTCCCATCATAGACTCCGACACCAACGATGAGGATCTACGTCGTCCACAAACTCTCCTTGATCTGTGGACTCGAAACCACACCGCTGCGTTTGATCCAGAAATCATCAGCCTCAACAGTGTCGACGACGATGATCTCTCAGCCAATCGTTCTGACAAGGTGATGAAGCTGATATGGACGAAGAAGAAGAAGAAGAATTGGATTTGAATGACACAGACGGTGATGGATCAACCTGGGCCCCTTTCACCAGCTTGGAGCAACTTGTTGGACTATTGATTCTGGGAACGAGTAGGACGACCTCATCAGTATGTCAATATGAACGGATCCGTTCTTTTGTTGGTCTCTTGGGCGTCAAACTCCCTGGATACAAATCTCTTCGGAACTGCCGCAACAAGCTGAAGAAACTTTACGGCTTCGACGTCTCCGAGGCTATGAGTCCATTGAATAAACCTTGCTTTTCGCTTAAAGTTCAACAAATACTATCCCAAGAACTCAGTAACCCTTACGTCGCCGATCACCTTCATTTTATGCCCGAATTACCAAGCTCGACCACAAAAATCAATCGCTTAGCACAGTCCAGAAAGTGGAGAGAGGAGCTGGACCGAGATCTACGTGTTCAGATGGTTGATTCACCCCGCGGTCATTTTTATCTATATGAACCGGTTCAATTAAACTCCAAGCGGCTTGTCATTCCAATTTTTTTTTATCAAGAAGGAGATGAGACCTTCGCCCGATGTGTCGCTTCCAATCAAACTTACTCCAAGGATGCTGAAGGTCGTGTGCGATGTCGAGTACATTTCGAGTCTGTCTCGGACTTTAATTCTCCAGCCTTAAGGTCGTTCAATGTCAAGGAATTTTGGAAAACATTTGACACCATTGAGTTACGCGATAATTTATTAATGAAGAGCTTATGTGGTGATTCAATATACGAGAAAGTCAGTGGCGAAAATTACTTGGCATTGCCTTTACAGAATCCTTGGCGTCAAAAGGCAAATGGAAAGCTCATTCGACACATGCCACTCGTGTTGTATTGCGACGACCTCTCAGGAAACATATCAAAGAGGTGGAATAAACATATGGCCTTTTACTTCACGTTAGCCGGATTACCTCCCAAACTCTCAAATCAGGAATACAACTGCCATTTTTTGACAACATCGAACACCGCCGGTGCTTTAGAGTTAGCTGACCCATTGATTGACGAAATCAATGAGCTAGCCACCAATGGCTTTGTGGCCTACGATCACCGGACCGAAAAAGAGGTTTTGGTGATGACGGCGGTACTTTGTCATTTAGGTGACTCGCCGATGCATGCAGAGGTGTCCAACACAATGAACCCAACCGTATCGCTGTCTCCGTGCCGTGTCTGTGACCTCAAAGTCCAAAATCTAGCCGAAAAGAAAAAGGCAAAGTACGTCAGTAACTTCGTTGGTGTGGACGAAAACGGACGGAAGTTCTCCCTTCCTACGCGCAACTGGGCAACAACCCAATCGGGCACAAAGGACCTTTGGGATCTAGCTCAGCGTCCAGGAACTTTTCGGGCATTCGAGACTGAGTCGTCACGTCTGGGTCTGCGGGATGCAGTAAATGGACCTTTTGTCAAAGAGGTACAAGATTTCCACCGAGATCCAGAGCTGGCAAGTGATGAAGTGGTTGAGATGTGCAATGAGCTCAACAGAAAATTTGGAGAGCGCCTTTTCAATCCCTTTTTACGCTTGAAAGGTGAGTTGAACACCTTCTATTCTTCTCAATCTTTCTTGTTCGTACTGACAGACTTGGGTTGAATCCTTCCAGGCTTCGATGGACATCGAGATACTCCGGTGGAGATCTTACACGTTCTGTTGTTAGGTATTGCAAAATACCTAATGCGCCACCAAATGCAAAATTCTTCTGCTCGTGAGAAAAATGATATATGGGGTCGGTGGCGATCCTTCAACACTTCTGGTTTGAAGATACCTCCCATTCAACCTAAGTCAATGATTAATCATTTTCTTAGTCTAACTGGGAAGGAATTTCGAACTGTGCTCCAAGCAGCACCTTTTATCTTCTTTCAGTGCTCTTTATCAGATCACGAACGCGAGGCATGGACTTGTCTTGCTCATCTGGCGCCCTACATCTTCCAGACCGAAATCACAAACATGGAATCTTATCTCAAGCAACTGCAGATTCACGTTTTTTTATTTCTGCGATCAATAGTACAGCTTTCTGCACAATGGTGCAATAAACCCAAATTTCACATGCTGATACATATTTGCGACGCTATTCGGCGATTTGGGCCAGCTTGTCTTTTCGCCACTGAAAACTTTGAAGCATTTAATGGAAATACTCGTAATTCTTCCATTCATTCGAATCATCTGAGTCCTGGAAGAGATATAGCAAACTCTTTCAATAACCACCGCCTCATCCGATCAATATTGGCGGGATGCCGCAATTACGACAGCCATCTCCACACTTATATCAAAGCAAGCCCCAAAGTCACCGAATTATTCAGAACAAATGTCTTACTTCAGAAGGCTCTAGGGTATAATTCGTCTTGGAACACGCAAGGGGATTTCAAACCGGGAAGTGAGTACTCTCACACACAATAAGTTTTTTGTATGCAAGCTGATGTTACTCCCAATCCTATAGAATCGAATGAAGTGCAGCCGTCAAATCCGGAAACCCTCATTCCGAATGAGATCATGGATGCCTACACATCAAAGAAATGGAAGGTTTTAGACTCTTTTACCCTCAAGAATGGCGAAATCATCAAGCCAGATGACTTCCTCTCGGTGAGCAATTGTTTCCTTTGTGGCAATAGGCTTTTCATTAATGATTTTCTGATTTGCACAGGTTGAATCGAGATATTTCGTCAACATTTCTACAACAGGCAAAATCATTGGACGGGTCAAGAGAATCTGGAAAGCAGATGGATGTGGACCTCAGCAATGCAAGATCGAAGTAACCAGGTGCAAGACTGGACAAGTCAGTGAGTTATACGGTATGCGTGAAATTGAAGAGACAACCCATGTTGTCTGGATCAATCCAGTGGTACGCTTGGTTTTCGATATGATGGTACTCTCAGAATCGTTCTTCTCTGATGATCTCTCTTACGCAAACCGTTCATCAGGAAGTCGAGGGTTTACTCAATGTACAACACAACTGCCACAAAAGCGGCTGTGTTGTTCGAAAGTGCCGGCCAATCATGATCGAAAGGCGAGTTTCAACGAAAAAGGACCATATGGTTGTTCATGAAGAAACCTCGTCATTTGTCCTCAACTCAGCCGCATTTCATTCGGCGGAGCTCCATCGAACTTGGGCACATCTTGATTTTCCTGAAGTAACCCCTGAAGAGTGGAAAACCGCCTTGCAGACTGGAATCACGAAATGGGAAGCCACGTTGAAACAAGCTAAGGAAAAAAAAGAAAAGAACAATCAAAAAGCAAAAGAGAGAGAGACAGCAAAGGAGAGTGGCCAAACAAACAAAAAACGAAAGTATACTCGAAGAAATACGCAAGGGGATACACCAGTGGCTGGTCCGTCAAGAACATAAGGGCCTCTGTGTTGTAATATTCTATTTATGTTTGTTTCTATTTCCTTTTCATGATCATATTGTAAATAAGAATAACTGTCAGATGTATAAAAGAAAATAGATGAACATATATTTCATTGCGCTTCAGTTCCCTCAGGATCCCTTTCCTTCTCAACCCTGCGCATTCTTTCGCGGATTCTCTTCCTTTCCTCCTGAACCCAGAGCAATCTTTCCCGCAATCTATCCTCAGGCACATCGCCCCTGCAGTAATCACCAAGGGTATAGAAGAGACGTCCTTCTGGGTTTTTAACAGAGTCATAGCTGCCGCTTTCAGATATGTGCTCGTCCAACGAAGGACCCATCTCGGACTTGAGGTAGTCAATGACTGCCTCCACCTCCTCAGGTTCAGCGCTACAGAAGCGTCTTTCTGTTTTATAAAAAAGTTCATCAAGGTCAGGAATGATTTTCCAAAAAGAGAATTTGAAAATAAGACGTACCTGGCACGTCTTGCACTTGGGAATCTAAGTACGCCTGATAGGCTTCCAGTTCCTCAGGATCTGGACTGGCTGGATGCGGTGAAAAAGGAATTAGCCTTGAATTAATAAAGAAAGAATCTGAAAATGAATTCTTACCAGGTGTGTTTTCTTCTTTGGAAGCTAAATACTCCTGATAAGCTTCCAGTTCCTCAGGATCTGGGGTGGCTGGATGCGGTGACAAAGGAATTAGCCAAAGAAAATCAATTAATAAAGAGAGGATTTGAAAACAAATCATACCCTTTTTTTGTTCCAGGGGTTGATCATCTTTCTTTATAGATTCTCCAGTTTTTGGAGGCATATTGTAAATTGATTTTAGACAAGGTGAATATTGGGAATGTTTTGAGCGAGGAATGTTTTGAGAGAGAAGATTGTCAAAGACCCCACCTTTTTATGTTAAGGAAATTTCGAAAAGGTCATGTTCTTTTCGAAATTTCAAGATGTTGAGTCAGTCTTGACTTGACATCATTCTCCTTTCTTCATGAAAAATGATATCATTTTGTTCTCTCCTTTGAACAAGGATATCTTTTTTATTCCCTCAAGATTTACCTTTGATGATAAATAAAATATCTTTAAATAAATTGAAGTCGTTCGATATCCCCTCTTCCTTTGAGAGGGGACCAAGTTGCATTCACTTCACAAAGTCTCTTTTGAGACTTCTCATATCTCATCTTTCATATTCACATTCTTCCTTTCATTCTGTTCCATTGCCTTTCTTTCTTTCTTTCTTTCTTTCTTATCTTTTGTTATTGAGTTTTGTGATCTTTTGATGTGAATTTCCAGCGCGTTTCGGCAATGTGATCTTTTGATGTGAATTTCCAGCGCGTTTCGGCAATTTTCAGGTGTCACAGACAACCTGTCACAAGCCCGCTGAGTGACACATCAACAATTCACTTGCTGTTCGTCTGACTTCCCGATCGATCAGCGGTCTTCTTCATTCCGATCATCTTCCACTTTCTTCCACTCTTCATCGCCACCATGTCTCATCGACGCTTTTTCCCCACCAAACCAACACCCAAGAACAACCAAGAATTACAAGCTACCACTGCCATCGCAGGCGCTTCCTCGGCGTCCCGTGGGAAATCCCAATCCCAATCGACTTCACATCCGAGTGCAACTTCAAGATCTCAATCTCAGCCCAACAATAACAACAAGAGCAAGAGCAAGAGCAAGAACACTGATTCTCAATCAAAAACCCAACCACCTGCCCGCCGTGTGGGTTTGCGCGAAAGGAACGACTCGAAGGCCTCGTCAAAACGGGCTGCCCCAACCATCCGAAGTAGCTTGCGTAACCAGCAGCAAGTATTCAAAGACGCTGCTCCACCAGAGTCTGCTTCGGATGAAGGAGCTCCAGCCAGCGACCATAACAACAGCAACAGAAACAGCAACAACAAGCGTCCAATTGCTGCGGTGGCCACTGGCTCGCGTAACAAGCAACGCATCGAAGAACCAGCACCAAAAGAACGAACACCCCCCCTTCCTGACTCTCCCGACTCTTCTCGTCACCAGTCTTCTCCTCTATTTGAGGGGCATTTCCTTAAACCGATCAAATTGTGTAAGTTTATTATCTCAACTGTTTCTGGAATTAATAAGTTGAACTGACAATCAAGCAGCGCGAAATTTTGCGGACGACAACGACGACAACGGCTTCGAGGACGACGATGACGAGAACCTTGAACAAAACAACAACACCAACGACTTTGGAGGAGATGTCGGTGGAGGTGGCGATGGTGATGATGATGACTTGGGAGGAGATGTCGGCGATGGTGATGATGACGACTTTGGCGGAGATGTCGGCGGAGGTGGCGATGACGACTTTGGCGGAGCTGTTGGCGGAGGTGGCGATGGTGAGGATGATGATGATGAAGGCAACAACACCAACAACAACACCAACAACCGTCAACGCATCTCATCTCAACTTCCCGATCTACCCCGTAATCATGTCCCAATCCACCTGTCTGGATCGAGATTACAAACCTTCAACGAGTTCACTTGGCGTGCCGAGCTCGATGACCATCACGCTGCCATGGGCAGGCGACTCTGCAATGTAAGTGTTCGCGATTTCTCTCTTGTGACACTTTTGCTAACCAATGATCACATTTCGAGTTTTCCAGGCTGCAACAACTGAAGAGCGATTTATGGCGACGATGGCTCTTGGGCTTTCCAATCGCCAGCACATGACTGCCATCCACAACGACATAACCAGTCAGATCAGCGAGCTCCGTGATCATGCGGCCACCTCGGCAGCTGATAGTGCTGTTAAGGCGCCTTGGCTCAATAAAGAGGACGCTGCTGAACTTCGGGTAAGTTCAGAACTCATCATCCACATCTTTTTGGCAACTGACCTCCTTGATTCAGTCATGTCTCCGCAATACTGCCTTCAAGCAAATCCACCGAGGTGACATACAGGCATATACAGCGACTGCCGACAAAACCGGACAGAAGAACAAATTGCCGGCATGCCTTCACGCGGTAGTTATGGTAAGCAATTCTTCTTCTTCTTCTTCTGTCCAACACTCACCCTATCAAGAAAGAGGCTTACAAGGGCCATACTGTAGAATGCGATACTTGCGAATCCCACTCCCTGGAAGAAACGGTTGCTGCCTCCTGGATATGGCAAAAATCCCAAACAATCCCACACCAAAGCTTTCGGCTCTTTGGTCAATGTGGTGTTGAAAGAAGTACGAAAAGAATTCGAAGGAAGTGTGCGTTCTATTTCATTTTTCTGATTGATTGAATCGAATCGGGTTGAATCAAACTGAATTGAATTGAATTCAACTCAATTTGCAGCTACTCGAAAACATTCACCTTCCCAATCGAACCGGCCCTACTGACGAAGAAGCGGTCCCCACCATTGAATCACTTTATGTCAAACTCAAGGAAAAAGAAGCCGAAAGCAAAGTAGGTCGAGTAGTTGTTCGTGAAGAGATCGTGGCCAACTTTAAGCATCAAGAAGAGGCTCGATTAGCTTACCTGGTACGATTATGCACCACGTTTTCCTTTCCTTGTTGAAACTGATCAGTGGTGTTTTACTTCCATCAGCGCATGCAAGCCTGTCATTGGGGCTTTTACAAATCGGAGTACAGTGATAAGAGTTTTTGGTGCGTGGTGGATGACCAATTGGAGGTCTTACGAAAACAATCGAGAAGATATCGATATGCGTAGGTTCTTATCCTAACATGTTGATCTTACTGTTACTAACAAACTTCCAACATATGTGATAGGTTTGCTATCATTTGTCTGGCGGAAGATTATGATTTGTTCAAGGGTAAGAAGACTTTAGCAGAACTCCGACCCCTCACCTCCTTCCCAGTTCCCGACGACGAATGGATTCGCAAGGTCATGAGTGAACTTGATGAAACCTGGGGCGATGATGTTCCAGAACTAGAAGCCCTACATGAATGAGTAGTTCTCTTTGGCAAAGTCATTCTTTTATTTGTTTATTTGGTCTTTTTCATTTAAAACAGCCTGGCGCTATTGTAACATATTTCTTTTGTTATCTCATGTTGTTTGTATTTGTTATCTTATGTTTTGTATGCAATGAACGGCCTAGCGCCGTTATTTATTGTTTATTCCACATCACAGCCAAAAGCGAGACCCAGAGCAAGCGCGAGAACAATTCAGAGCAAAACAGGAGCAGCAAAATCGGGGATCCTTAAGCGTATTTCAACCAGCAAAAAACTGTTTTCAAACCAAGTCTGAAACATCGGTTTCAAACCTGATCGGCGGAGTCAAGTTGACCACCGGTTTGTCCGTCACCAAAGAAAGTCGGTTTCCCAACGGATTCTGAGCACCGGTTGAAAAACCGTTTCGGTGGGTCCGTGGTGTATGAGGTACCAGATCATGTACAAAAGTGTGAAGAACAACATACGAGAAACTTGAGAAATTCTACGGTGAGGGCTCGAGCAGAAGCCCAAAAAACTACTTAAGGCACCTTAATTCTTGGAGCTCTCCTGCCAAAAAGTAAAAGTACGAGTCCGTTGTAAGCCCCTCTTCGAGGGGCGCGGACGCAGCCGCGCGAGAGGGGCTTAGTTAAGCTTAGCTTGAGCACTACACTCCTTAAGTGTCTCTAAGGAGTTTTTCGAATTTTTACGCTTCCCTCACAAACCAACCTCGCTTGGCCCCAGCTATTTTGTCATATGTTGGACATCGAGAAAAAATGAAAAAGTTCAAATTTCGGCCGCGCAGAGAGGGCTTTGTTAAGCTAACCTCAAAGGCGTCTTTTGACATTTCTCGATACTTGACTTCAAGTTAAACGCCAATTTGTTCGAGTTCTGTTTGAAACATCACGCAAGCTTTGCAGACTCGACTACATTCCATCAGTCTCGCTGGTCACGAGCCCTTCCAAAAGGGCTAGTTTGAAGTAAGGGATGTCGTCTTCATCTCGAATTTCGTTCATGGATCGTTTTTTCATCCTGCTGAGCTTGTAGTTTACTGTTTGGGATGTCAATCCCTACTATGTACAGAGCCAAGCCTGTGCTAGATTTCATCAATGTTAGTCTGAAATCGTATTTCACTCCATGATCTACAATATAAGGCTGTCATTCAAAACCAATGGTTGTACCGTGAAGAAAAACACAAGAAGAATGAAGAAAGCTTGAAGACGTAACACGTACTCACTGGGATCTTAATGGTCAATCTGAATCTCTACCATCTCTCCTCACCTTGAATCTACACATAAATCAACCTAGTCTAGCTGGTCATCCATTAATCAATCTAAGATCCAGTTGGCACTTGATCAAAATGTGAGTGTAGAAGATTGGAATAGCTTTGCGACCTTGGCCCGTGCCGTAGAATCCTGAACACTTCATAAGGTTGACTCAAATGAGCAAAATCTACACGCTCATTGTCCCATACTTTTTACACCATGAGGTATTCCATCCGTTCGCTCTCATTTCTGCTCGGCGAGATTGTCGTTGGAAATCATCTCTTAGCTTGCTCTTCATCTCTGCCTTTGCAAAGTCGGCACCTGAGCCCTTCAGCTTCGACTGCTTATGGTGTCGAGAGGCACGTGAACCACCTAGCTAGTCGCTGCGTAAGCTTAACTAAGCCCCTCTTCCGCGGCCACGTCCGCGACCTCGAAGAGGGGCTTACCGCGGACTCGCGATTTTTCGCGGAGGACTTCCAAGAATTAAGTACTGTTATGTACTTCTTTCAACTTTCCCTCAACACCTCTGGCCAGAAAGTGCCAGCCTTCTGATATGTTGTTCTCAAAGCTTTTGTACATATTTTGATACCCCACACTTGTGCTTTACTCGGCGGAACGGTTTCCATGTTGGGTGGTAAGCATCATTGGATGTGCTTGTGTATGTTCCAGTCAAATACCCCGGAAAATACCCCGGAATGATTTTTTGGAACAAAACCCCAAATTTGTGGGCAAAACCTCCTTGCGTTTTGTCCTTGGTTTTAGCTCGGTTTTGTATGGGATGGCTGAGCACGGTGAGGTTAAGTACGCGTTCTTGTGGTTACGCGCTTTTGTGGTACACAAAAATTTTGAACCACAAAATGGACACAAAAATTTTGTTCAAAATTTGGGAAGGGATTCTGGCGCGCGGCCATTCCCAAAACTACAGAGTGACCGCTATCAAAAATTGCAGCCTCAAGAAATCACAAAGAGCCAGCGACCTCCCATGGAGCAAGAAACCAAAATCCGCCAGCGTCCCTTCATCGAGTCCATTGCTGTGCAGTTATGTTCTACTGCAAAAAGTCAGCAGACCTTTGCTAAAGAGGTATTTTACTCTTTTTTATGTGCGGATAACCCCGTTTTAAAAGAAAGTCGACGTTATTGGGGTATCGAAAGAGGTTTGAACTCCACTTTCCAAATTGTGCGTGCGATCAAGGACCTGACTCAAAATAGTGAGGAAGGCCGGGCTGCATGGTGCAAGTTTATTTTGAGCGAGGTGAGTGTTCTTCTTTCTTAACGGTGGTATACAAGTTAATGAAATTGAACGTCACGTAGTGACGTCATGCTGAGGAGCAGGACGTGCATACTGTCATATGCATTATAGAAGAGTTTCTCTTTTCTAACATCTTATGTAATCATTGAGTTCGAGTCAGTAATATATTAGAACAAGTGTTGTACACATCTAGTTGTTCTTTTCCTTATCGAACTCATTATCAGAAACCTTTCTCAATCTCTTTTCTTAGATTGTGGTTTCTTTCGATCAAGCACCAGTCAAACATAAGACTGATACTAGATCCTTAATCTATTCAGATAAAGAACCATCCCTGAATCTCTTTGGTTATGAGCCCAGCGCTCCAATAAGCGCTTATCAATCAAAATTTTTCGATCGACTGTCGTCGATTTTTCGAAAACATTTTTCATCTTCAATTTACTCTCATCTCAATCATGAACGATAACGCGAGCTCAGCTAGAACTCATTTTCCCAAGCTGGCCAAGACGAATTACGTCGAATGGTCAGGTGACGTCATCGCTCACTTGATGACTGTCAACTTGGAGGAGTTCACCAACATCGACAGTCCACCTGTCATTCCAACCAAAACCGAATTGAACGATGCTTCTGTGCAAATTGCCGTATACAACGCCAAGAGAAAGAAAGCTGCTGGAATTCTGTATGGTTGTATCGATCAAGACAACCGCGTCCGAATCACTTCAAAAGACGCTGTCTCGGATCCTATTCAAATCTGGAAGATACTCAAGGAGCACTTTCAGTCGTCTTCTGACGAAAATCAGGCGAGAGCCTATCTCAAGTTCACTGACCTCACGTTCACGAACCTCGAATCCTACATAACTGACACTCAACATGCCCTTGCTGGTATGCTCGCTGTCGATGGCATTCAACACATTGCCCTGAAATATCTCGGGGAAACGATTGTCACCAAGCTTCCTGTCTCGATGGACATCACCAAGACGTTACTCCGAAAAGAACGTCCTTTGACTCCTGAAAAGTCTTAAACTATTTAGAGGATCAGCTCTCGGCCATCAAGGACGAGGAAGAGCATGCAACTGCTATTGCTCTGGCTGTTCACCAACCTAGATCTCTTCAACGATCTGTCACTCAACGCCCTCTTAATCTTAACCGACCGGGCTTCGCTTATTGCTCTAACGGACGTCATAACAATGACGTCAAGAGTCACACCTCCACAGAATGCTATCAAGTTAATCCTGCTCTTCGACCTCCTCGTACTACTCGACCTCGCGCCGCAGCTGTTGCCGTAGATAACACTTTCTTTGAGGCGAAAGCTTTTGTTGTGGTTTCCTCTGATCACGATTCAATCTTGTTGGATAGTGGATGTTCTCATCACATGGTTCCAGATCGGGATCTATTTGAACACTACGAATCTGTCTCGTCTACGGTCGCGTTGGCTAACGGCAAGAAGATTGAGATCATTGGTAAAGGCAACATCCGGTGCAATTCAGCTGACGATGAGGTCATCCTTCAGGCCCTACATGTACCAGAACTCGGCTGCTGTTTGATAAGCATGGGTGCTTTGATCATGGACGGTTACTCAATCTCAAGCTATGTTGATGACATTATCATGACGAAGAAAGGTGCTGGTGGTTTTATTGGTCATGTCGTTAATCATGTCATAGAACTCGACATTACTTTAGGCACGTCAAGTTCCGCTCCCTCTCCTCGTGTCAATATCTCAATCTCTGACTACGACGTCTTACACAGACAGGGAGGTCATCCCGGATCCGAGCGCCTTAAGATAATGTATGATGTGTCGGAACCCTCAGGCTGGAGTTGTGATATTTGCAAACTGTCTAAAGGTCACAGGCTTCCCTATTCTGGACATTTCCCTTCCTCTAAATCTCCCTTAGATATGGTTCACAGTGATCTCAGTGGTAAAATCTCTGTACCATCTGAAGGTGGAGGTCAATACTATTTCAAACTCACAGACTTTTGTACAAACTATAAATATGTTTACATAATGAAATTAAAATCAGAAACATTTTCGTGCTTTTTAAACTACAAATCAAATGTTGAGACTCTGCACAACAAAAAGATCGTGAGTCTTGTTAATGATCAAGGTGGAGAATATCTGTCGAAGGAATTTCAAAAATTGCTGAAGGAAAATGGGACGACTTCTCACTTAAGTGCTCCTTACACCCCTCAACAAAATCCTGTCTCGGAAAGAGGCAATCGAACCACGACTGAAAAAGCAAGGACTTTACTGAGGCAATCAAAATTACCTTATCGCTTTTGGGCTGAGGCTGTGATGACGGCAGTGTTCTTAGAGAATATCACTCCGGCTAAGATCACGAACAATAAATCAGCATATGAGTTGTGGTTTGGTAGGAGCTTTGACTATTCCAGACTCAAACCTTTTGGGTGTCGTGCTTTTGTGTTAATCCCTAAGCAGTTCCGACGAAAATTCGACAGCACCTCGATGAGTGGTATACTGCTGGGATATCAAGTGGGTATGAAAAATTATCGTGT